AAAATTCCAAACCCTTGGTTACGGCCGCATCAACTGACCAGATCTTGCTGAGAGCAACACGAGGCACAGTACAGTAAACTATCAGCAACTTTGAAGAAGGGTAACTAGAGTACCGAGAGACTACCGAACCGGTACGATCAATCACAGGCATACGTTAAGTCTCATACGTGGCTGCTTAATCCCACCTAGCCAGATATAAGACCGTTTCTGCGCTATATGTCATTCAATGCAATGTGAACCTCCGCAGCACCCAAATCAAATAGCCATTGGACGAAGTATATGCCAAGAATAACAAGTAAAGAAGCAGGCTTGGGCAGCAATGTCTTTCTTTCCGATGGACGATGCAAGAGAGAGACGGGAACTAGTGCGGGTGCATTGGGTCATGGAGTGGTAGAGAGAGAGGAACAGGCCTAGGGAACTCAGATGCCTGTCCATATGCTTCAATGGTCTATATCTGAGCTGATTTGATCAGGAAGGTCTGATGCATACGTAGGGAGTAACCGTAGTACCTAGGATCGGCGAACAGCAGAAAGCTCGTGGGGTGCAAGCTGTGGACGTGTGACCAATGTGGTTGTTTGACCGGGCCATTGGCTCCACACACGCCTAAACAGCTTTATTATTCTTGCAATATACCACTTTCCACTAACGGTCCCCATGTACCTAGTGAAGAGGAGATCAGACGGCCTCCTCGTCGAGAGGGTGGTGAGCGTCGATGGTGTTGGAAGCCCAAACCGAGCATGCCGGACTGGATAAAAACCGCCATTCGGGAGCCTATGGCTGTTCATCCAGGCCACACATCATCTCGAACATAGCCTGTCAGCTGGAAGACAGCCTCACGGTATTCTCAACTAGATATTTTGCTTGGTTCCCCTTAACAGAACTAGCGTTATTATAAAATGACTGGGTAAATATGCCCTAAGCCTCAGCAGAAGTGTTCTGCTCACTAAACCGCCAATAGGCACGCCGACACCGAAGAGGTCACCGACGAAGTTCGCGAAACTTTTACCCACCACAACAGAATATACCAGCGCTGTTCAGTGGACCGCAGGATATATCTTGTGCCTGTTGACGAGGTCTGCAGACGCCAAAGACTCCTTTTCGAATCGGACCCACAAACTGATGTCGACGCACCTCTCGCAGGATGAGACTATTCGCTTGCGCATTCAGTACGATGTCTTGGCCATGGTGTTCGACGGGAGATCTATCTTCCCACCCATGGGTGCCCTGAGGCGAGTACTCGACTGTGGCTTCGGAACAGGAATGTGGGCTTTCCAAGTGGCCTGGGAAAATCCTAGGTGCGAGGCACGTATAGAGTCGTTTCTTGCATCGGTCGTACTTCACGGATTCCCAATACCCGGGACCAACCCCCCTCGGCAGAGTCTTTTCTAACGTCTACGTCTTCGAGCGGAAAACTCGTCTACCGTCTCTTGCGATGCGATAGGCTTCTGTTCGGGTTTCGTTTCCCCAGCCGCAGGCCAGAGCTAGAAAGCCGCCGCAGCCAGCGCGTTTCAACCGCAAGAAGATTGGTTTGGTGAGCTTGATGCTAACAATCGGCTCGCGGAAAGACATATTTATCGTTTTAAAGACTCTCTGTTAGCTAACATTGGAGAATCCAGGTCATTGGCATCGACGTGAGCCCGCATCATTATAACCCCGAGGAGAGTGTTGAGAACCTTTACCTTAATGTCGACAACTTGAATATGCCGTAAGAACCAAAATTCCCGATCGTCGGAACGGAAATCCCAACTAGCATCTTTGCAGGCTTTCGTTTCCTTCCAATCATTTCGACCTCGTGAATAGCAGACTTGTAGCCGGAGGAATCGACCGTAACCGATGGAACGAATACATGCGTGATATCCTTCGGTGTCTGCGCCGAGGTGGATGGTGCCAAATGGTTGAAATCGATTACAACGCACAGTCCGACAATGGTACATTGACAGATGGTAAGGGGGACGAGCTCTATAACGAGGCATGCGTATGCTCATCATGGGGTTTCCAATAGGTCACGCACTTCGCCAATGGTCAGATAAATACAGCCGAGCAATGTCGCAGCTTAAAAACGTCGAGGCGCCACGACGTCTTGCGCATTGGATGAGGCAAGCTGGCTTTACCGATGTCGAGGAACGAAGTAGGTATCTGAAAAGCCCATCCACCCCTAGGTTTATACCACCCGCGTCTGATTATTGGGTTCAATTTAACAGTGACCCCCTTCGATCAACGTCTGGTCCCTAGCTCGATGAAGCAGCATGTGCTAATTTTTGTTTGGTAGTGATCCCCTTACCCATGTGCGGCTGGTCTGATAGTATGGTGCCGTCTGGTTTCCCCGAATATCAGATCCTAACATTTCGCGTAGGCCAGAGAGACTTTGATATTGGTGTTCACAACCAAGAAAACGTCCGATTGCTGCTCGGGTCCTTAGCCTTGTACCCATTCACAGAGCTACTAAAGTAAGCTCAATATCGATTTGTTCAAGAATGCGCCAGCTGCACACGGAATTATTGACATCTCGCAGCATGACTATTACGGAGTTCCACGTCTTGGTGGCACAGGCGAGAGCAGAAGCTACTAACCCTGCACTTAAGGTAAGACCCTAGCCTAACTCCTCAACCCAAATGTACAAAACGGACCGTGGATGAGGCTGATAAGTATTGCGGAATAATAGCCATATTTTCGGTTGTAAGTTATCCCCATTTCAGACTCCCAACGAATGTCAAACTTGATGGAAGGCTAATGAATTGCTATTCAAGATACGTATGCGTGGGGAGAAAGCCGAGGCGCTGAGGTCGGCGGGAACTAGTTTGGCGGCTCTCCCGGAAGGAAACCTTGCCGCAGTGGAGAGGCAAGGTATACGGCGGGTCAAAGCAGACGCGGGTTAGACTAATCGGGTCAACATCGTATCGCTTGCTCGGTCGTTCATACTAGGAGAAAAGGGGTGGGAGGGGTTGATTGTGTAGAGATGGTGTGGTGTATGTGGTGTAGTATGCCAGTAGGGCTGCTACGGGTTGTCATCCACCTGCCTCTGAGAAAAGGACCAGGCTTCGCATATTGTACGTTGAACAATCAGCAGATAAGGACATGACTGCATTTATAGAATATACGTTGATACAACATTGACCAGCGTGGGCTTTGAATGATGTTGGGAAGGGTTATGTGATATATGGGATTATACATATGGAACTTCTGAAGTTATGGGAAACAAAGACAGCGAAGACGGAGAGGGGCGAGTGGAGAGAGAGGGAATTGGAAGGCAGGACATGAGGTCAGCTTAAGGTTTGCAGCCAAAAGGGAAGCAGCAAATCAAGGGATCCCCTTTGCTCCTTCTACCAGAGTCTCGGGTCCAACTAGTCGGGTCGTGTGTCTCAACCCAATCGAGAAAATACCCATAGGGTACCTCCTGCCCAACATGATACATGTTGCTTTCGTAGGTATTTCATACACACACGTATGTACTCTAGGGTATACACATGTAAAGTATAAAAGTATAAAAGTACATCGGATGCGTAACACGCACACATATACACACATACCTAACACACACATAAAAGCTAATATTACTGGCCAACATCAAGAAATACGCCCCGTTTCGAGTTATCTAAGGCAGGTACGGGCGGTTAGAGCCGCTGTCACGGCATCTCCTTTTGATCGCTCATTCCGCCCGCATTCCCGGCCCTCCTAGTCGCGGGCGGACCAACTTGCCAGTGGGCCACCCCCGGTCCTATTTTGTTTCCAAATTCATAAATGCCGTGTTCTAGACTACTGAGGCTACCCTACCCGGCCTTGCCACTACTTGGTGTTCGGAGGGCAACAGCGTGGCCACCATCCACGACGTTACAACCGCGAGTGACAAGACAGAGAGTGAGACAGCCTCCTCCCCTCCCCTTGTAAGATTATATAACCAGCCGGACCAATCGCTGAAAATTATCATCTCGGTTGAAATAGATTACCTCTATTCAACCGCACGGGTTACTTTCCCGTGTGTTACTCTATTACGAGCCTTTGCTCCGGCTGTTAATTGTGATTGATTATGTGACTGTGTAACGAAGTGGCGGCCAAGGACAAAAAAAAACCGTTGGGCTGTACGTGATGGTAGTGGGCCTTACCGCGGATGTAGACTCCCATCCCGACCCTTGCTACCCGGTAGAGCATCTCGCTGCCATTATCTGTCAGGTGATATTTCCTAGATCCTTTTCTATCTAATATGATGCAGGTAATATCTCCTTGAAACGTCGACGAGGGCTTTGGGAATCATTGGTGTGCCTGGTGTGTCTAGTTGTGTCTAGTGTGTCTAGTGTGTCTAGTGTGCCTTGGGCGAGCCTTAGCATATGAAAAATAACCCGACCGTCGATCAACTAAGAACTAAGCAACCATACTCGGTATGGGGAAGCATGGGTCGTAAATGACGTCCTATCAGGCCATGTATCCTACGAAGTCCCATCTCCCAATATTTGATATTTATGAGAAATACATACATATCATACATATGGTCTAACTCAACAAGCTGGAACTCTCAACAAGCAAGCAGTAAAGTCCTCCTGCCGGCAGGTAAAGCTTTTTAGTCAGATATTCTATAATCCGATTATGGCCCTAAGGAGACTTTAAGCTTATAGGAGATTGAGTTAGGGCGTGCATAGCGGGAGCAGCAGGGACCAATGGGAGCTGACCCTTAAACTTAATTCAATTCTTCAGCTTCCATTCTCGCAAAATCGCACATACAAAGCTTCCTCAGCTTTTGCCCACAACTTTCCCACCGTTTAGTGACGATCGTGATATCACCGGCTACCTTACGCTTGGACGATAGGTACCCAACCCAAGGTAAGGTAAAGCCTGACCGACCGGGAACTTTCACCGTACCGAAATACAAACTCGATTGGTTCAACAGCATCCAATCTCCCCTGAATATAATTATCCCCGGACCCAAACCATACAATTGAAAATTACCTAGAAGAAAAAAAAAGGGTAAAATACAATTAATTAAGGCCGCCGAAACAAAGACTCCAACCATGGCGTCCCTACGACCTTTCAATCGCGTCGCGGAGCAATTGCGACTACGGACACGCATCACATACCCCTCTACAACCCCCACGACGTCCGGGTTCCTGAGCCGCAGATGCAGCGCACGGTTCTACTCGAGCGAAGAGGCGCCGCCACCGCCGCTACTACAAAAGATTAAAGGCGATCTGAAGGCAGCGAGTGCGTCACCTCTATCTCCGCCGACTTTGCCGTCCCGCGAAGCTCCGTTAGCTTAGCTAGGTACTCTAGACAAAAACAGCTAACCGACTTTTTACCCCCCCCAGTGCGCGCCAAAGATGCTCCCCGCCTAACCGCCATCCGCTCCGTCCTCTCCGCCGTCCTCAACGCCTCCAAGACCGCATCCCCCATAACCACCGACGCGCAACTCGTCGCGCTCCTGCGCAAGTCCCAGCGCGCCTCCGACGACGCTGCCGCCGAGTTCCAAGCTGCCGGCCGTCAGGACCTAGTCGATAAGGAGCACACGCAAGTCGCCATTCTCGGTGAGTACGTCGCCGCGAGCGGATTCCAAGAGACTTCCGAGGACGAGTTGCGCACCATCGTCGCCGGCGTCCTCACCGCCATGACTAGCGAGGCTGCCGCCTCTGTCCCGCCCACCGGCGATACTCCTCCCTTCGGCGACGTCATGAAGACTCTCCTGGCTCCTGCCGGGCCCCTCGACGGCAAGGATGTCGACAAGGCCCAGCTGGCCAAGATCGTGAAGGAGTTGAGGGGCGCCAATTGATGCGCGTAAGTACTCTAGCCCTCTTGTTAGTATAGGTAAGGGAAAGGGAAAAGAGAGGGGCATGAGATACTTGTATAAATGCTTGTACTATATATATGATGAGGAATGCGGCTATGATTGCATTGCATCAACCGGCGTATAAAATTTCGTCTGGGTTTAAAATCACATCTTCACTCAATGAAATATCTGCGAGCTTACCTCGCGGTTCGGTCTCCGCATAATGATGTTATTACAATGTGATTATAAACGTGAACAAGAACAGCGGAAGATTTAGGAAGTCATTTGTTTGTTCAGAGAACCAGTCCCCAAGTCCTAGCGAAAGAGGGGATAAGGGTTCATGTATATTTGGACTGCTAATTAATTTATAATTCCAAGGTATCTATATCTCCTCACTGCGTAGCCCACAGCTATGCCTTACGCCAACTATTTTCATCTCGCCTAAACGCCTGTCATAAGTCTCAATCCGTAAGATATCCTGGCCGCGCCGATGCATCGTGTCGGAAGCTTCATAATTGACATAGAACACTTATGCGGCGGCATCCTCCTCGTTACGAGGACCCGAGAAATCAGTTCCTTGGTTAGCAGTTGCTAGTCTCGCGCACAAGCTCAGTAGAACCACTGTTTCTGTAGCCGCGTAATGGTTTAGGGCGTCTAGCAGGATTTGCAAATGCCGACTGAAGTTCTTTTCCCAGTTTCTGATGATCTCAAATAGGTTGTTGACCCGGGTCTCCTCATCCTGGAGATGGCTGTTTGACCCGCTATCGCTATGCGACTTCTGAGACTTTATAGCCTGGAATCGTTTCCACTCCTTGTCAGTCATATTGGGTGGTTTTATAGGGCCGATTAAATCCGGATCAGACTTTTCAAGCTCGCGCGACAGCCAATTCATATGAGCGGCGAATACGGTGCAGGTCTGCATTAGTTTCGAATGGATCTGGAAATATGTGAGCGGAGACGCGGTAGCCGCAATAATTTATAGCCACTTACTCGAATTAACTTGCCGTTGGTTAGCATGCAACCCTTTAGGCAAGTGTCCAAGAAATCCACATGATCCTGCATCAATTCATCCACGGTCCGGTCTGGTTTGCCAGACCCATCTAAACTTCCATCCTTGGCTTTGAGTCTTGACATCAGAGATTGCCAATTGGGCTCAATGACCTCTAGAGTGCAAAAATAGAGTAGCTGCTGGACAAAAACCACCATTCGAGCCCTCAAGGTCCACACTCGCCTCTTCCAAATTTCAATACGTCTTATGGAAGACTTGTGGCACCAAACAACCCCTGTATTGTGCGTTTGCCATGTAGTTGCTAGCTGTGACTCCAGATATCTCAACGAGAGAAGATAACGGAATAGCGCTTGGTAACGCCATACTGTCTTCCGACTAATGACTAACGATACAGGAAACGGTACCGTGTAGTCGAGCTGCAGCGAGGTGAAGCCGACTGCATTTTTATCGTTTTCGATAGGCTGGTTGCTTAGAGGCTGTAGTGCCTCCCCTTGCTCAATACCTGTGATATTTACGACGCGTTGCAACATCTTTATTAGGCCGACCTCGTTCACCTCGACATGTACATCTTCTTTAAATGGGTCCATAGACACAATACTTCCTGGCTGCCGTAGAACAAGATCGAGGAGAGACTGCAGCTTGACGACATTGACGGACTTGACCGGCTTTCGCAGCTCTGATGCGCTGAGCTCCATAAAATAGGTAAAATAATCTGACGGGTCGAGGAAGAAGTAATGCTTCAGTGACTGCAACCTAGCGGGAAGAGCATGAGTAGTCAGGAGCAACTTCATAAGCGATTCATTCGCATGAGCATAAGCATTATTGACATTATCGAGGAAGTGCGGATCGTCGAAGGACTTGGGAACATCTTGGGCGACTTTACTAACGTCGACGCCGCCACATTCCCGCACAACGTTGAGATACTTCCCTGCCAACAGGACCTTTTCCTTGACGGCTACTAACTGTGGAGGTATGTCATGCTCTCGGACGGTATATCGTCTTTCCCAGTAATCGTCGGTATAGTCTTGCTCTAACCTGTCGCGTCTAATACTCTTTTGCTCCTTAATAAGGAATTCGGAATGCGGGTCTCTGATTTCGCCATGATGTAACCACTCGTTTAACATCGCCATGTACGGCCGGCTAGCATCGCGTAGCAAGGATGTGAGTAATGATCTGGCAGCAGGGTCTCCAGACATGGTTTCCAATCTCTTAGTAATTAGACCTATAACCACGCCGCCCTTACAAACCTTCTTTCCGGTCATATTTCCCGGTACAAGTTCGCCGCCCCGCTTCAAATTTTCTAGGATATTTTCAATATCGTCGGGATCTGAGTCCTCCGAACTCTCGTCATCCAAAAGCGCGTTCCTCTTGAGAAATTCGTGAGCTAGTGAATAGAGCTGGAACATCATCTGACTCGTAGGGAGTGTATGGACGTTGAGGAGATGTAAGGTGAAAGTATCGTTGGTCAAGAACTGGGTTTCCAGCTGCGCAACCATTATCAGATAGTCGTGTAAGGACTTCCTGATTGCGGCACATAGGGCATGATTGACAGCCCCAAATTCTTCCCTGCTCTGCACGTCGACAAATGTCTCAAGGGCGGAGTAGTAAGTAGCCATTTTGAGCATTGATAGAGTTAGGTCTTGAAGACTGGGATCAAGACCGGGAAGTATCTTAAATTCAGGTCCGGCCAGTCGGTCCCTCTCCTCATTGGGGTCGTATGAATAAGCATAGCGAATGTATTGCCCCTCATAGCCCATGAAAACAAATAACAAATCCTCGATTATAGCGGCCTCTTGGGCTTCTAAGGATAGTTCGTGTAGAGGCTGCGGTTGCAGAGAGAGTGGCGCTTCTGACGCCGAAGGGGGTATAGACACACGTATCGCAAGGGGTGCAGATGTATGCGGCGTTAAGTTAGCTACGGGTTCCCATGATGCTAGTAGTCAAAAGAAATTAGTCCAAGTTCCAAGTTCCTCCGAGGTGAAATCTCGTTAATCTGAGACATACTAGGCGGCGCATCAGGCTTTGAATCTCTAGACTTCGTGTCTGACTGGCGCGGCTTGGGCACCTCCTTTGACTTCCGTTTTTCTGGTGGAGGCGCATCCCTAGACCGTCTATCGGGACTCCTCGTCCTCGAGATTAGCTTTTCTTTCGTAGTCACTGTCGTGCGCTCGGTCCTTCGTTCTTCGGCAGTCCTACTGGCTGGTCGCGGATTGCCTGAGGCGCTACGTTTATGAGCGGGATTGATATTAGCGGTCTGGGGAGAACGAGTGCTTCGTTGATCGTGTTGAGATTGAGAAGCTCTTGAGGTATGAGCACTTGCGCGGGGTCGCGGGTTGCTATCATTGTCGCTAGTGCCATTTGTGCGCCTCTCTGAGTAGTTGGAAACCCTCGAAGACATTGTTACTATAAGGCGACATTGGAAACACCTTTTGTCTGCGATATCATGAGTGGTTGATTAATGTTGTTGTATTTATTTAGATACCTAGTCCAGGGTAACCTTAGGTGGGAGGTTTAAGCTTGTGTCCATTGAACCTTATCGATAATTGGCTAATAGTAGGTCGCGTCGAAACTTGAGCAAGCGCGTTTAACCACCAATAAGGGATGATCTATGCATATATTATATATATAAGTACTTCGTACCTACGGATATCTACATACATGTAGGTACACATATCACATGGTAATTGTTCCCTACCTCTATGTACCTAAATAAATAAAAAATACCTATTTCTTTTCATAGACGGCCTTGATTATTATTATATCCTTTGGTTGGTAAGTATAATCTACCTCATCGTCCGTATATGTAGAAGTTATAAAGCCTTAGGTACACACGTAATTATTAATGCTGTTAATCCATTCGTATCGTCCTACTATGAATCCCTTGGCATCCATGTGTTCGCCTTTCCCACTGAATCCCCCCCTTCTCTAAAAAGTTGACCATGGTTTCTGGTTTTCTTGCCCTAATAGATTTCAGAGTTTCCCTGCGCATCTTAATCCACTCCCTAAGATAGCTTCGGAATATTTCTGTATCACAATCTAGCTTTGTTCTTACAGGCCAGCTAGCCAACTTCTCTATAGATTCGGTATTCAAATTATACACGCCATTCTCGCGTTGTGAATTCTGGACTTGTTCGTCCTCAGCTTTAAAATCAAGTGTAATCAGCTCGTAGAGAGTCCACGTAACACTACAAAATTCTTCCATCAGGTCCCTCTCCGTAGCCTCTCTGGCCATACTAAAGTCGCACAACATAAGTCTGTCAGCGGCTTCGTCGATCAGTATATTACCCATGTGGAGGTCGCCATGGACAATGCCTAGAGATATGTTAAGAGTCATAGGCTCAAGATCGTCTTGTTACGGCAGGGTTTTACCTTGATCGAAGTGAAGAAAATCTAGAGCTTCGGTAAGCTGCTTAAGCCACTTCAACTTGAAGGTTCGGTCTTTATTGTGATTAAGACTTCCACCGGGGACGAATTTAGTTGCCATCCCAACGATGTTACTGTCGTTGTCCAGTATAAGACGATCGATAGGAAGTATAGAAGGATGAAGCTGCTGCGTCTTCAAAATGTTCATCTCTTTCCATATATTTCCCTTTTCCGGGTCACTGGAAAGGTATTTAATAACCAGTCGAGTTTCAGGATTATCAGCCAGGTGTACAAGGTGAACTCTAGATGTGAAGCAGCCTAATGTAACCACTTCGGTGTGCCGAACTGTTGGCCAATCAGCATATGCGGTATCAGCAAGGCACGCCATAGTGTAAGATCGCCCTTCTAGCCAGGATAGATTAAAAGAATTCCGAACGAAGTCTTCATCTAGTATTCTGCCTTCTAAAGAAATTTCCCTTTCAGCTAAAAAGTATGAAGTATAAAATGCTATATAGTACTCAGAGACGACTTAGATATAGGCTTATGAAAAGAATGATATCAACTAAGTCAGCCAAGTCTTTGTTTGCGTAAAAATGATTGATACGTTAAGAATATTGCCCTGGTAAGTTCCGAAACCATATTCCTAAGAACAAAGAAAAGAAACGTAACTTGCTGAAATTGGTTTATGGTTATGGAGTTATTACATTTATTAACTTCGGTAAACAGACTTCATATTTGCTTTTTTCTTAGAGAGACACAAAATAGTAGCTGCCAACTAAGGCAAATTGATCTAATTGGGGTAAACGACGGAAACGGCATAGTGATAGAGACATAAGTCGATGCTCGGAAAGTAAAAGATTACCAATGTTTAATGTTACTGAGGCTCTTATAGAGACCAGGTGCAAGAGGTGTATTGCTGCTAATGGGCGATGGAAGCCTAAATGTGATGGGGAAAGGCTAGCCTTGAATATTCAGAACGAAAAAAACATAAATGAAGAATCAGCAATTAGTTAAACAACATGAGAAACTTGAGCTATTGGAACGCTCGAGTATACCGCCAGCACCATAGCTGGACACAGTCAGGCCAGGGAAAGAGAAATCAGACGAAGTGAAGTAATATAATGAAATGGATATCAACTTTGTTATGAACCCAGGCTGGAAACATTCTTATTGCTTGAAATGGCCTTTTAGGTATGCTTGACTAACAAAAGGTTTGGCATAGTCTGAAATTCCCTTAGAGCTGTATAGACATTGCTCTATCATTAGGTAAGTTAAGATGCTCGATAATGCTGATAATATTACCAACGAAATAATCTAACATGTAAATATATAGAAATGAGCTGGTGGCGGTAGCTCTGTTGTCATAGTTATATGAAATAAATCTTTGTTTACTCGTGTTGCATTGGAGCTAGTTATGAATAGTATATCATGGATGAATTCGCTTGTATTTAACTAATGTTAAACTACTAAGTCCCATGGCATGTGAACTTTTCTTAGAGATACGACTGAAGCTAATATAATTGTCTCCTAATGTCGATTGAGTTAAGGGTCTAACTTCATAGACTGTGCATGTATCCACTACTCAGTACCTTAAGCGTATATCTTATCGATAATAAGATAGTCCCGCAATACTAGTGGTCAAAGCTCCATATTAAGGTTTCCCGTTTGTGCTTAGGCCTAAGCCCCGGTTGATGCAAACACCTAACCCGAGCTTCGTAAACGGTAGCAGCCTTGAGCTTTGGAGCTCAGTACCTAAAGTAAATGCACCCAGTACCTTTAGGTAGCCTCTCTTTACTTACGAAAGTAAATTCAGCCTCCCACTCTCCCAATTTCAACCACATCCATTCTAAACGACTCATAACTCTCGACCGAACGACCCCGTAACCTTCTTTTAGAGACTGTTTCCCTTATAAATATTTCAAAATGTTTATGGCAAGATCTGAATACGGTAAGTCAGCTGTGCACTGTGCATCCAACCCCAAAGCTTCTGATAGCCTGTATTATTAAAGGTAGCTAATGTAATGGATGTCAACCAGACCGGGGTATCAAGTACGCCCTCCCGAACGCTTTCCCCCTCCTCCCTCCACTAATACTAACGTCGCATTCACAGTACCTTCTCCCCGGAAGGTCGTCTTTTCCAGGTCGAATACTCTCTCGAGGCCATCAAGCTCGGCTCGACAGCGATCGGCGTCGCAACCTCAGAGGGCGTTGTCCTGGGCGTGGAGAAGCGCGTGACGTCGACGCTGCTAGAGACCTCATCCGTTGAAAAGATCGTAGAGATCGACCGCCACATCGGGTGCGCCATGTCCGGGCTGCAGGCCGACGCTCGCAGCATGGTCGAGCACGCTCGCGTCGAGTGTCAGAGTCACAATTTCAACTACAACGAGGACCTGCGTGTTGAGAGCTGTACCCAGGCTATCTGCGATCTCGCCCTGCGCTTCGGCGAGAGCGCTGATGGCGAGGAGAGCATCATGAGCCGTCCCTTCGGTGTCGCCCTTTTGATCGCTGGCTATGACGAGGATGGCCCCCAACTCTACCACGCCGAACCCAGCGGCACTTTCTACCGCTACGACGCCAAGGCTATCGGCTCCGGAAGCGAGGGCGCACAAGCAGAACTGCAAAACGAATACCACAAGGTACATATGTTTCCATATTCTACAAAACTAACGTAACTTGGGAGGACCTCTACTAACATCACTATATAGTCCCTTACGATCGTAGATGCGGAAACGCTAGTCTTGAAGACGTTGAAGCAAGTGATGGAGGAGAAGCTCGACTCGAAGAATGTGCAGTTGGCAAGCGTAACTAAGGAGCGAGGCTTCAGGATATACACGGATGAAGAGATGGCTCAAGTCGTAGAGAGACTACCTGCTAACTAGGATGGTAGAACAGTTAGGCCGCGGCGAGCTGGTACTAGCGGAGTAGTAATCTAGTACCAATAGATAAGGGGCTAGGACAAAAGATTCTACCCCGTTAAGCCTGATGAGAAGGTGGACTTCGTATTAACTATCACCAAATCCGATGTACTATCTTATACAAGCAAGCCGTCCGCCGTCGATCCCTCCTCTTTAAGTTATCTCTCCCTTACATAGGGTAAGATATCCAACGTAATCAATCGTGTTTTTCTTAGACGCCTACTCTAAGCCTCCATCTCTAGTCCGTACAATCATGAAATAATCCAGTCCATTTTCACGTGACCGCTCTCCTTTAAACCAGAATTTTGAGATTTTCGTGTCCCTATCACATACTTACCTAGGTATCTGATCTTAGGCATTTCCTCCGTAAACCCCTAGGTTAAGTACCCCTCTAGCTCCAGTTACCGCCGATCCCGTTCACTAGCCTCCAGGTCCAGCTTCTCGAGGTCATGCTCGACAGCCAGCAAACCCATCGCGTAGGAAGCCTTCTCGCCCTTGGCCAGCACGATCTTGGTCTCGTCTCCGTCGATCTCCTGGATGCGCTTGTCGATGCGGCGGGCGTTGACCCATACGGAACCCGGAGGGTCGATGTTGAGGTTGACGGAGCGCGCGTACGGCGGGCCGCGGCCTAGTTGCGCCGCCTTGGTCCACGACGACTCGCATCCTACTGCGATTTGCCGCGCCGACTGCCATCCCGTCAATCGCGCGATGTCGTGTAGTCGTTGGATTAGCCATTGCCGCTGGAAATCGTCATGGTACTGTTTGTGTCAGTAAATGTGGGCAAGGAAAAGGGAGAATTGAGTTGGCTTTAAAGGTTTGCTTACCTGGATACCTGCGACGAATAAGGGGAAACAGCACTCTATCAGCGCGGCCGCCATGAGCGTACTCACGTTGGCGAGATGCGCGATATTCTCTTCTAGACCGGCAGCAATCCGGCCCACTTCCATGCAGTACGAGGCAGTCGTCCGTGCGGAAATACCCGCAGCCATCATGGCCACAGGCGGCATTGTGGGATGAGCTCTGTGGAGTATAATCAGGCCCATGTAGTAGTTCATCCAGACGCCTGCGATGGAGTAAGTCCTGTAGTGTGCAGCGAGGCCAAATGGTGTTGCCCTGGCGGGGTAAACGTCGGTGCCGAGAGCCTCGAACTCGGGACCGAAATGGCTCCTGAGTATTTCGAAGGCCCGTTTGATTCCCTCCCACTCGCGATATGCCTCGGCGGTACTAGCGTCAAGGTCGATATTCTCGGGGAGTCCATCGTTCGGTGGCGATGTTTCCCTCGGTGGGGTGAATCCCATCGGGACCGTAATACTTCCGGGGTTACGAGGCACCATGCCCGGGAACATTCCCGGTGATCCCCCGCGCCCGGGGCCGGGACCGGGACCGGCCATCTTAAAGGTTTTCCGTTTTCGGCTTAGATCCTTGGATGTAAAGTTTGCTAAGCGGCCAAGCAATAGCATAAGATGGTCGTACGTGCCATATCTAACAGCCGTGTTAGTGTTATATCGGGACGGATAAAATGGGTGACTTACATAGCATCAAGCCTTCCTATTGGGGCCCTTGGTGGGCATTGAGTCCATGCATCATACTCGAGGCTTGGCTAATCAGTACGGCTATATTATAGAGTGCACAACGTGATGCGAACTTACAATAGTCTTGTTCCACCCAGTACGCTCTGGTAAACATCTTGTTTGCAGTACCACCAGAAGAGATCACTTAATTGTTGGTATGTTTCCATGTCCTTATCTGTATGCTGATATCTCGACCTGGGATATGCACTATATTCTTCAGGAATCATTCCCAGCTCATCAAACGAGACATCCTTGCCGGTTATCTCACTCAGCAATTGGACGTCCAGATGATCCCAGTCTTTATGCAAGGGAGTAGTCTCCTCATATGTAGTGAACATTCCAAACGCGTCTATCGGAGGTTGTTGCATTTCCTGTATTCTCTGCCGGCACTTAATTCTCATCATAGCGCGAGTCATTTCTGCGAATGGTATTTCTTTGATGATTAAACGTGCTCCTAGCAGATGTCTGCTCCATTTGTCATGATCCGAGTTCCACACTTCATAGAATGCCAATACTAATGTTGCCGCCAGGTTTGCTGGTTGACACCGCCTATTCGGCCGACCCACGTTCCGCGCAATTCTCCTCAAAGCTAGGTGATAGTGTTTGAGAGATGCAGTTGGCGGCAGAGCCTGAAGTTTTGCAATCTGCAAGCTAGCAATTGCGAGCACGGCGTGGAGGAGAGCTGGATGGGTAAAAGACAAAATTGGGAAGGTATCTATATGAATTAGTGACGACAATGGGTAAGAGCGCAGAAAGTTGACTTACAGGTCCAGATATGCTGACGAGACTTCGGTATGGGTTGGCCTTGAAAGATGGGCGACGGATCAATAGGATACCTTTCATACATGGATATGCTAGGTCCAGTTACGTTCACAAAATGCCAGAATACTCCCGCTATTTGTTTGTCGTTTAAGGGAGAGTTGGATGGTGACGGTTCATACGTCGCAAGGTCAGGAGCAAAGGCTGAGAAGGTTCTCGTCTGGGTTCCGAATGTGTCGTACGGCTGATCAAGTCTCTGAAAAGCGACTACCCCGAGGTTGTTGAAGTCGAGAGACGAGTGTCGCGCACTAAATGGCATATCATCCGACTCTGCCATGGACTCATCATCTGATACGGGGTATTCCCATTCCTCGTACTCAGACTCCGTGACCTGGATAGGCTGTTCAGGTTCAGCACGAGCCTTGCCTTTATCTAGCTGAATATTGCCTGGCTGCTGTTGCTGCTGGGGTAGAACAGGAGCAACATTTTGGGCAAGATTCTCAGGGGTAATATCTGAAAGCGAACCGAAATTTGCAGGCTGTTCCTGTCTCCATTGATGCTGAGAGAACGCATCGACAGTGGTTGGGGGAAAGAAGGTATACTTTGGTTGCGCAGATTGTGATCCGAGTCCGCTGGGATCGAAGCCCATAGGAGATGTGGTTTGCCCAACCTGACCGGGGTAAAATCCAGGCACTTGAGGGTATCCCACAGGCGGTTTAGGGGCAATGATTTGTAAAGCCTGAGATGAAGACTTTTGTTGTGCCGCCGATAGCTGCTGTTCTCTTACCAATGCCTGAGGAGAGGGTGCTGGGTAATGTATCGGTCCAAAGGGAGCATTGGCAAATGCGCCTAAAGGATCTTTGAAAACAACTCGTTGATTGTATCCATCACACTGCCGCTTCGATTTTAAGCAGTTGTTACAAGTCGGCCTACCCTCATCACATTTTATTCGACGTTTTCGACAGGCTTAACGGCAGTTAGCTGGCGGTATTCACACGATCTAGGAGCACACAACTACTACGTACTAAGGCAACCCGTCTTTGTTCGTTTCCGAACAATCGGTTTCTTAGGCGCTAAATTATCGCCATCTCTCTCTTCTGGTGTTGATGATCTAGGAGGTTGAGATATCGCGGACGCGTCCCCTGTTGGCTCCCCTGCTGAATTCATCTTGGGAAATGGCGTATAACGTACTGCCTAGGTAATCTTATTACTGTGAGGTGGTGGCTGATTGTTTTGTAGTCTAGTGGCTTAAAGATATCAAAACTGTCACATGGTATTCAGACGATTGGCCCGATTTAGGGCAAGAAGAGTGCCGGCTACAGAACAGTACCGAGCATACTCGGGGGTAAGTCCTCTCAATTCAGGAAAAGGGCGTTTCCAATGCGGATGGCGATTATGGCAGCCTCTGACGTCTTGTCTACGCAGGACCTGAAATCGGAAGATGAATTACGACACAAAAATTCCCGTGGTTCCGACTGGCTAGTAGAATGAGACATTCAAGGCAGAGGCAGGAGTATTGTAAAAAATAAATAAAAATAAAATTATACGAAGAGATGAAGGTCACGACTTGCTTCCATATAGTTTATATCGTTCCGTGAAACATCCAGTGCGACAGAAGAGAATCGGAGTACTCTTGCTGGAGTGGGCAATTGGGGACAGTCAACCCTCGAAGAATAAGACTGGGTGCGACATAGGGAATGTGAACTGGAGATGACAGCGTCTAGACCTAAGGGGTAAGTCAGTCAATCTAGTATGTACAATATGTAGATGGTTGCACGCTCGAACGGGGAACAGAGGGTGGGAATTGGTGGGGGTGTAGCTAGTTGTTACCAGCCTGCCAGCGTTGTCGAACCTGGGCAAGGATATGAGACCACAGTATATACTAGTATATACTATGTGGTAGGCTCTGCTTTCTAGACCTCGGCAAGGCTGGGCAAACTTGCTAGGCTAGACAATCCTTGAATGTTACGGTGTCATTGGACTCTTTCAGCTTAGGTCCAGCTTCCGGGTGGAGCAATCCAGACCGGGCCTCAGCAATAGATCCGTCGTTAGAGCCGACGCCATGCACCGGTCAGGGAGAGGTGATAGGGTTTTGTCGATGGTGACCAAAATTCAACACCGTTACCGCAAACCCGACAAGGTATATCCTACAACAGACTAATTCTATGCATATATAAGATATAATATCTTCTCTTAGACTAAAAGGGGACAGCGGACGACTAGAAGAATACGGCTTACAATGTCAGTCGCCCTATTTGCTAGCGTTAAAGAGCTACAGCACCACGTGAATAAGAAATATGTGGTATAACGGCGGAACAGGAGCATATGTCAAAATGCCGTATGGGACCCTGTATTGCAATGGCTTTGTATGTAACAATAGATGCCGAGCCCGAGGCCGTGGTGATGCGATACGCTGGAGGGGTCCTTTGAAGCTGCATACAACTAGAGTCGTTCAAGTCGCGGTAGATCGAAGTGCGACGTCTGATGATGCGCCTGCAGTTGGGGTCTATTTCCTGCAACCTGGGAAATTTGTCTCGTAGAGATAATTGCTCATATAGCCTACCTGTGTTACCGAAAATACGCATCTATTCGTAGCGAAGACGAATTGTCCTACATATAAGTTACGGTTTGTTGGCTGATGACCAATTCCCACTTCTAGACATACATAGCAGAACTGAGGGTCCGTAGCTTGTGCGGGCTGCTGCGCAGATGTCTTGACCTCTCTTATCGTGAAGCTTGAGAAGAAAGTGGACTCATACACGGAGGGAAACCCGGCCGTTGTAGATCATGAGCTTACGGGCGAAGGAAAGCGGAAATCCCTAAATCTCTTTTTCCTTCCTTAGGCGGGTAACTTGAAGCTATTTATTCGTGTTTCATTTCACAGCATCGCATAGGACATGACACAACGTCATCAATTCAACGTAGTCGAGCCCTGTCATGCTATGGCCAACGGGATCCAAAAATACCTAGGCTGAGTTAGGTATAGCAAAGTCCGGGTGTTGTAGCCTTCCCGCGTGTCTCGGGAGGGGAAGCCTCGAGCCCTTCCGGTTGACGCAGAAATTGCATGGCAAAGCTTCTTGGGCAGTATTGAGGAGTTGGGCGTGACCGCGATTGTAGACCATACGCAACATACGTATAACATACGTATACAGCAGCATGGGCCGAAGCGTCAGAGTCACGACATAGAAACAGTGTGTCGTAATGCAGAATATGCGATGCTATATCCCGTGACCCCGCTCAGATGCAGAAAACGGCCGTTGCATATACATCAATGGGAAGAGTGCTAGCTAAGTCGGCTTATTGCTATGGCAGTGAAAAAGGCTAAGCCGGGGAAGCTGTGCCTAGGTATGCTAGTGCGGAGGCGGGTAAAGACATGAACCCTCTAGCTGGAAATCTGAGCCAGTGTCTGTGTCACATTGCAGCGACGAGGAACTGCGAACTGCGAACCTCGAACTGCGAGACTTACAATAATTGATGTGTCTTGATGTACATGGACTCTCCGTTGATGATTTGGGTCAAGTCAACCGATCGATATCAACGATAGGGAGGCCTGCTTGTAGCTGACCAGCCGTCGTGTAACTGTCGATCGTACTGTGGAGGCCCTGGTTTTCCCTTCTCGGAGCCCTACCCGGCCGTAGCAGCATTTATGAGCAATATTGCTTCTGTTCGTAACCCTGCTCGGTGATCCAGGTGTTTCATCCAGTTGCAGCCTCATGTGGGGTTTGGCCTATTGAACATAATGTACTAACCTAGATTGAAGCTACCTTAGTATATTAGTGATTTCGATAAGTTCAACTGATCTTGTTTGTTGAGATCGTAGGGTCAAGAGCCTCAAAGGCAATATAGGTGAGAAATTCATTGCACATTGATTGGAAAAAAAGAAGATTAGCTTAGGATTTCTAATGGACCTGCGCATTTGTTTAACTTTTAAGGTTGATAGACCCTGTCCACTACTATGCACGTGATTAGTGATATTCTCATAAATGTTACCGCAATTTTGCGGGGTCCTTTGCCAAGTCTAAAAGGTACATTGTACATCATTCTAAGGTTCCTGCGCTAGTAATCCCTGCAAAAAAGTTTAGACGACTTGCTGCCTCTAAATCTTTCTATTTGACTTTTCGAAGCTGTTCAAGTTATTCCTAACAAAACTTATTGTTGAGATCTGATACCATAATTGTCCATAACCAAGGCACTTTTGGCATATCGTCACAATTGCAACTGTCTTCTATTAGAATGTTTGCGGTACCAGGTTGGTCCGTGTCTGCGGACGGTCTCAAATCCGAGACTACCATAGTGGCTCCAAAAGCGGCTCAAGATGAATCTCAGCAGTCAAACAAGCGCAAGAGGCCTTCATCTACGCCAGGGAATGTCAACTCGTCTAATGTTGCGGATCTCTGGGAACGGGTTATCGAGGGAAGGTCGGGGAAGAAGCCCAAGCCTGATAATGACCATAGTGATGAAACCCCAGAAGGCAAACCCAGATATGGCAAGAAGATGACTCTAAAAGAGAAGAAGAAGTTGAAGAAGTTAAGGGAGAAGGAAGCGAGCCAAAATGGCGTGGAAGGCACTGAACCGGCTACTGGAAATGAGATCAAGCTAACCTTAGAGTCACCTGATGCAACATTAGGCAAGGAGGCAAAGAAGGACAAGAAAAGGAAATCTAAAGACGAAAAGGAAAACGGCGATAGCAAAAAGCCCAATGAAAAAGACAGCAGCAAAGTTTCTGCTCCCGCCCCCGCAGCAGCAGCAGCACCGAAACTAACGCCCATGCAAGCCGCAATGAGGGAAAAGCTCGTGTCCGCGCGGTTCCGCCACCTCAACGAAACGCTATACACCAAGCCCTCAGCCGACGCGTTCCAGCTGTTCGCAGACTCGCCCGAGATGTTCCAGGAGTACCACGAGGGGTTCCGGCGCCAGGTCGACGTCTGGCCCGAGAACCCCGTCGAAGGGTACATCAAGGACATCAAGCTGCGGGGGAGACAGAAGCCTCCCCAGCGCTCCAGGAACGGCCACTCTGCTCCCCCCGTGCCTAGCTCCTCCGGCGTGGCGGCCCTGCCGCGCACCAGCAACGTGTGCACGATTGCGGATCTCGGCTGCGGAGACGCTAAGCTCGCCGAGGCTCTGCAGTCCGAGAAGAAGAAGCTGCGACTTGAGATCCTTAGCTACGACCTGCAGAGCCCGAGCCCGCTGGTCACACGCGCTGATATTGCGAACTTGCCGCTTGCCGATGGTGCTGCCGATGTCGTTATCTTCTGCCTCGCGCTTATGGGCACTAATTGGCTTGACTTCGTCGAGGAAGCCTATCGCATTCTTCACTGGAAAGGCGAACTATGGGTCGCGGAAATCAAGAGTCGGTTCGGGTTCGTGGGTAAGGGCAAGGGTAAGAGCGGAGCCCCAGTTACCCATAGTGTAGGGAATAGGAGAAAGATCCAGGGGAAGAAGGGAAAGGGACGGGATGGGGAGGGGCCTGAGGGAGAAGAGGATGAGAAGGCGCTGGCTGTCGAGGTGGATGGTGCGGATGATAAGCGTGAAGAAACCGACGTTTCTGCGTTCGTCGAGGCACTACGGAAGAGGGGTTTCGTTCTGCAGGGTGCAGCCGACTTAAGGAATAAGATGTTCGTCAAGATGCACTTCATTAAGGCAGCATCGCCGACCGTTGGCAAGGGCGCTGTTACTTCTAAGGAACCTACACGCGGCTCTGGGCCCAAAAAGAGCGGCGTCAAGTTCATTGACACGGAAGGAGACCAAGCTACAGTGGATGAGAGCTCTATTTTAAAACCCTGCGTCTATAAGCTGCGGTAAAAGGGGCGAGCTATCTATTACCCGTACACGTGCTATCCACTACCTACGCACATCAGGCAGAATTGTAACTTTCTAATCCATAATAGACCTTGATTCGAAGTGCGCCCTATTAATTTTTTCCAAGGTTGGCAAAACATATGTCGTGCTCGACGAACCTCTCTAATGCCTTTGGGCTGCGTGCACGTAAGAATTCATATTACCAATGTCCCATGCTGCGCCCCTCTACCTGTTATGTCGAGTAGTTGTCAGACTCCATGCTTAAACCTGCCCTGTTGTCACGCTATGCTGTTGCTGTTGCTGTTGCTATTGTTACTGCTGCGTTCTTCGATCACGTGTACTGCATCGTAAAGTGCAAGTGGCAGATCGGGGTTCATTAGTTGTTGAAAAGGAGGGACGCGGCGAATTCGACGTTGCCACCTGTAGCTTCCAAAGCATTAATCGCAGCCTGCCTATCCCAACCAAGCGCTACTAGTGTGTTGATGTCGTTTTCGGGGAACGTTCTTTGAGGCTGCACCTGAGGTTGAGCTGGTGGTTGCGCGGGGCGGGCCACCGGAGCCGCAGGTCGTGATGTGCTAGGGGCAGAAGGGCCTGCGGACGAGACTTGGGGACCAGTAACGGCACCTGAGCGGGCACCAATAGTCGTACCGCCAGGGCCCTGAACGGTTGGTTCCTGATTAACCGCCTCTTCGGTTTCCTTAGGGATGTCTGATTCGCCGAGGAACTCTACCTCCTCCCCTTGGATGATAAGCTTGTTGCGTACAAGATCGATAGTTGCTTGGTGACCTTTAAGAATGTCTAGACCGAGTAGCAGGTCAACTGACTTGCCCTCCATGACCGTGAATGCGGCCGCGAGGTGCTTCGTGCCCAGTTGTAGCATGGTGTAGTGAACACGACCTATAATATTTGCAGTTCCAACCCCACGAGCTACTCCAGCAAACCGTCGGTCGACAAGGCGCATGATGTTGCATGCCTCGGCACATGTCGGGGACATGATTGTAGCTTGGGCGCCAGAGTCGACCAAGGCCTTGACCTTCACACCATTGACTTTGACGTCGACGTAAAGGAGATGCACGCGACCGAAAGCTGCAAAAGAGGGGGTTAGAACCTAGGGTTTGAATGTCCAGGGAAGAGAATGGCTTACATTCGGGGTTATACTCCATAGCATTTTGGAGATTCTCCATAACACCTTGCTGGCGAATCATGTCTTCAATCTTGGCCTGGGACTCGGGATTAAACTCATCATTGTTTAGGGCCTCAATCTCCCGCATACGTGCTCGGCGTGCCTCCTCCTGCTGGTCTGCGCTCTGACGGAAGATCTGGGCGAATCTCTGAGGGTTCTCGAGGGCGGCTGCTAGCTGGGGGTTTGCTCGTTCGAGTTCGCCTCTTAGTCGAGAATCACCGAGGACTTGCAAGCGGATGAGCTCCGGGTCTTGGGCTACAGGAGCAGGCTGTCGTCTCTGTGGCTCGCGGTGAGCAGGCGCAACGCCAGTGTTGCCTCTCATGTCCCGCACGTGAAGTGCCAACATGTCTCCATCGGAAATGTCTAGCTCTTGCAACGTCTTGGAATTATCAGTGATAAGCTGGCCGTTGTGGTAGATGTTTTGCGACGGGCCAGGTATTCCCTCGGCTTCAATGGAGCTTCGGAGGTCGGCTAAGGTCATATCGGGAGGGACATCGAGGTTTATTAGTTGAAGCTCTTGAGCTTCGACGTCCGGATTGTTCACGTTCACGGTGATATGCCTATGTTTAACATCAGCTTCGATGTGTCGAGGCTAAAGGGGATGAATGCAAGGGACGCGTGTGCCTGCTTACATTTTGACTTGTGATGACGACTAACTCGTCGCAGTAGGGACCGTGAGAAGGTAATAAGGATGATGAGACAAAGTCGGGGGAAACGGCGCAGCTAGGTACTGGCTCGGTTTGTCGTGAACTAAGACGAGTCGAGAGTGTGTGGTGTCTAGATCGGCGATCAGAGATCAAGAGAAAAAACTGGTGAAAAATTAATGGTGCAGAGAAGCAAAAGGCGACGAATAGAAGGTCGGAATGGGTTGCTGTCTGCTTCGACGATGTAACACGGGCACATGCAACTTGGAACTACGGCGGGCGAAGGCGGGTATATGATCCGAAGATGCAATAGTAAGTAAAGATAGTTTACGTAGTTAGTATATGTAGTAGTATATGTATGTATATGTAGGTGTATGTATGTAGGTGGACAGTTTGAGTTGTTGTTCCAGGTAATTGATGCTTTAGCGTGGATTGTGTAGGTTGCGTGGGTTGCGTGGGCTGCGTAGGCTGTGTGGGATACAACATGTAATCAAGCGCCGACCAACTACATCATAATTTCTCCACTTTATCAGAAGTAAGTCCCGTCCCTTAGAACCCCACTACCAAAGCCTAGACTTTTTTATCCGCAGGGGTTTATTTCTATACGTTGCACCCCACCTGAATGAGATCTATGCTCTTAGCTGAGGCTTTAATTTGGCACGTAGGGCTGGAGAGTCCGCATAACATGGAAAAACAAGATAATTGTTCTAACGAGGGAAGACACTTTATACGTATTTTTGATACCACAAATACTTCATTATAGGTTGATGCAGCTACGTAGTAGTAGAATTGCACTAACTTACATAAGGTGCCTATATTTTACGTGTTTAAAAAACTTGCGTCCCATTATAATATATTACTATCTCGTATCCCCAACAGTTTATTTCTGCTGACTGAGATCCTTCGAAACAAATAGAAGCGCCCTACCACTTTCCTTGGTTATGAAACATTCACGTATGTATATTCCGAAGGCACGCGGCTAGATTGGCTCCCCTGATACTAAATCTGAAGTACATCCGATGCTCACGTCATCTTGGGTAGTTTAACGTATATATACCTTATAACTCGATCCAATTAGCTTCAATAAATCAGACAACTTCAGCTAACTTCTCTTGCTCTCTAGATAAGATTATATGATGATTAATCCAACCTCAGGAACCATCAAGTTCTATGAACATGTTTTGTATAAACTTGAGTACTTCTCTATTTATAGAACTAGTTGAAAAGCGACTGCATCGGGGTTAAGATATGCACACCTTGATACCTTGACACTTTACTTTCACCTCTTCATAAATTTAATTCGACTTCAAGAGAAGATGAAGGAAGTATTAACGGCTTATTCAAATTGTCAAACCAGAAATTATGAAGGATGTGTTAGTTGGGTAATTTAAATCCTACTTACTACCTAAACAATAGATATGCCAAAGCTGGTGGTGACATATTATGTTAATACCAACTAATCACTTAGTTATTGTGTTAACAACGCTCTATCATTACCTTCTTCTAGAAAACAGATGAGAATAAAGAAGTAACTTAAATAGCTAGTAAGGTGAATAACAAGAGAGTGAATAGTTTATAATAAACCCCTTCGACCTCGTGTATGTTGCTTCCCTTCTTGTATGCATTAGATGTTCAATCTATTGTCAGTCACTCGCCAATAAGTCGTGTTTCAATCTCTACCCTCAAGTAGGTATCTTCCAGCTGCCCAATTCCTTCAACGCACTTTCCGAATCGCACCGGTCTTCTTCTTCGATAACGATTAGTTTCTGCACAAATTGTATTCCATCCTGTCCCATCGGTGTGTCTGCCCCTTCTAGAAGATTCTTTATACATTTGACCCTTTTTATGAGCGAAGGTTGATTAGTCAACTCGATATCATTGCGGAATAGGCGTGTTCGCTCTCCTACAACCATCCTGAATATAATGCAACCTACAGACCAGATGTCGGCCTTGAATGTGTATGAGTGCCGAGAATAATGGTCCTGATCTTGGTCCGAATCTTCTGAATACCACTGCTGTACAACTTCTGGGGCTTTGTAACCAGCTGTGCCGATCCCCCTAGTGGCAAGAACCGAGGTCTTCCTATTAGAAAGTCGTTTCGAGAGACCAAAGTCAGCAATCTTGACCTTTACGTTGCTCGGTTTCATTGAGACGACAAGAATGTTCTGAGTTTCCACAAGTAAGCATTCATGTATCATATAATAGAAAAGGGGCAAGAATATTATTACCTGAGGCTTGAGATCTCGATGAGCAATACCTTCTCGATGCATGATATCTAGCCCCTCTAATATCTGCCTTGTAGTTTCCTTTATGTCTTTCTCGACCCAGCGACTAGCACCAATGCATTGTTCTAAGTCGCCAAGCTCAATATATTCCATTGCGATGAAGAGACTATTTCGGTCCTCATTCCACCCAATGAATTCAACGAAGTGTTCCGGCGATAGCTAGAAGTGTTAGAAATATACACGTATGGCAATATTTTCAACGTACCTTTGATAGGTGATATGAAGACGTCACTTCTGCAAGAAATCTGCTCCTTGCAACTGTAACATCTTTCGTCTTGTAGATTTGTTTCAGTGCAATGACACCTTGGCTCCCATCTATTGCACTCCTATCAACTTTGTACACATTTGCACGCCCATGACCTGTGATCTCAGTCCTGTCAATAAGGTCATCCACGATACTGTCGATTTGAAAACCTGTATTATATGTCAACAGGTTATAAAACTATAAATGCGATTCTGATAGGGTGATATTTATTGCTTACCAGTGATACAACTCTCGTGCTCCAACACAAATGCAACTTTTTCGACATCAACAGCTTGTATACTGTTGCCATCTACGGAGTGACTTTCAACCAAGGACGATACATGGTTGAGCACACTGTGATATTTATCTGGTGTCCACTTGAAGTCTTGCGCCCAACCACTCCTCTCATCCCAGTGAGTCCATCGATAAAGCCCTCTAGAGAAGAACGGTAGAGAGTCAGGGAACGCGACTGAAAGTATAAGGGATGCTCTTGAAGACCCAACACCCTCTAGTCCGTCCTTCAAAATATCCATAGCCGCAACAACTTCTCTGTTGTTCTTATATTCTCGAAAGGCTTTCAAGGTGACTCTTCTGATGTTTTCATTGGTATTTTGTTCGATACGCGCCTTATTTTGTAAATGTTTGCCTTTATCCAGAGGAGTGCCACGCTTCCTAGATGAGATATAGTCTATCAGTTTCTTAGTATCGTCTTGGGAGTAGAAATACATACTGCATCCATTGGTCGAGATATATCAAATCATTCTTCTCAATATATGGCTCCTTCTGTAGCTTGAGTTTATTGGGTATACCATCAAAGCGCTCCCTTTCCGCACGTTGATATACATCACGGATGTAGCTCGGGTATTTGCTGAGATTTATCTGAAACTGTTCATGGCTCAGGTTGTTAGGTAGCAAAGTCTGTAGCGAGTACTGCTGCTCACTCCCAGGCCGTTGTCTATTCTCAAGTAGTTGTTCATCTTCGACCTCCTGCTTCTGCTCAAGCCACACGACGGGTTTGCGTTGCTGTATATCCTTGGGTTTCCGTTCATGTCTGAGGTGCTCTTCGTTCTCGAGCTGTCTTATATCATCATTGCTAGGATCGTCTTCGCGTTCGTTTGCTGGTGCTTTATGCAACCACTGGAAATGAGAAAATCGACGAGTAAATTTACGCAATCTCAAAGTAAATGGGTGCTTGTCCGGTTCCATATTGGAGAGGAAGGTGTAGTATATGGCTGGGCACGATTGTAGTTCCTTGTGACTACTATATCATCGCATTTTTCTCTAGAATGTGGTTTATATAGTGGCACTCAAACTTACATGCTGCTCGGTAGGGACAATATACGACGGAAATCGCGCAACAAGGGCTGATACAGCACTAGAAAAATACAAAGTTATCTATAGGTATCTATAATGCACATGTAAGATGTCGTAAGTCTGTTACTACGTCCAGCATGTAGTATTTGCTAATCCACAAATAATAACTTTCTATAAATATTCTTCTTACTTTGAGATATTTTCTAACCCTATGTAGGTTGTGATCAACATAGAGCGTCCTATTCGATGTGTATCATCCTCGATAAAATACGCGTCATAACATCGTTGGTTAAGATTAGTTCTAGTTACATATACTGTACGTATGATTCTTTAACCTCCGTAGTTTGTCAGAGTTAAGGGGGTAGGGTCAAGATATTCGAGTAATCCATACATACGAATAAGCACATGCATCATGCTGTCGGGTGTTAGTTGGGCTCCGTGTCCTTTAATTTTATTGCGCCTCTGGCGACTAACAAGAGGCCACTACATTTCAGATATAGGTACTATCATCTGTATTGGATTCTAATATGGCAGGCTACAACCATCCGTATACTATAACATAACTAGTGGCTTATTTTGGTTGAAGGAAGCGTGATATCTGTCTCAAGTATCCTTTCAGAAAATAGCTTATGAGTAAAGCCTAGTCAACCCCCACTCCTAAGCCAGACCGACTTGCTAATTTAGGGAGGTAGCTACTAGTCGTCGATATGATGTATGTTAGATTGTAAATTACTGGTCTTGAATCATATCATCACTTAAACTCCCACGCGATTAGCTGGAAGGGTGACACAAGCTGCGGGCTGCGATCAGGTAGTCGCTTATAATTGTGTGTCGGCTGTAACGTCGTTCTCATTTACTATTTACTACTTTAACTACCCAAGTATTCAGTTTGCCGAGTTTGCCTTATCGTTAACACTGTCCTTCGGGTCATTATACATTTAGTATTCAAAGTCCATTAGACCGAAACGTAGGTAAGTCGGAGTATCGTTACTAGAGCCACTTCAACGAAAGCTAAGAGGTACTCATTTCCCATAGTTATACAATTAATGAACTTATGTATTTATAAATAAATAGGTAAAAGAAAATATAGCGTTTATTAAATTTAAAATTAAATTAATAAGATATATTTATTATGTTATCTAATAACAAATAAGTAATACCTTTAGTAAAAATGTGGTTTAAAAAAAGGTCAATGTTTTTAAAAAGGGGCATGGGCCAAAACGCAGTCCAACCAATTGGTGAGCGGCCGAGTCAGCACGGTTACTTGGCTTGACTTAATACTTCTCTCTTGGTAGATACCTATGGATTATTATGGAGAATACGGGGCATTCTACTATTTACTTAAGTACTTAAGTCCTTCTTTTAGTATTAACATAACTATGTGAATATAAGGTTACTGAGGTGAGAATAATTGACGTAGGGCCCCTACGGTAGGGGAGTGCCTCACCAAGTTAGTTTATGCATTGGATAAGAACGTGTCATATTAATTTATTCTGATCCAACCCGGACTTAGTATCTGTATACGATGAAACTATGCGGGAGGTATTCATTGCATTTGGGGTCTCAGGGGTAGTAGATAGGCGCCCATCTTACTTTGTCTATCGGAAGGTTGCATGTAATTCCATGGAATATCTTTCCGGAGACCATATGTTTTTAAATCAATATGTTCACATCATACTACTCTATTTTTAGAGCCACCCCTTGCTTTTTGAATATTTCTCTACGGTATGCCTTCAAGTGCGAGAGAGACACAGGTGCATATTCCACTTATATTGACAAATTAAAACCTTGAAAAGACTCAAAGTATGCCACTTAGGAATGGTAAAAAAATCTCAACCAATCAAATGTAAATAGATAATATACTGTGTATCTCTCTCGCACTTGAGGGCATACTCGTAATGGGGTTAAAACGTATGAAAATTATTCAAAAGGTTACGCAAAATGAGTTTTACCAATTAATCTTAATTATCGATATCGATATTTTCCCCGAGGGAACAGACAGTCGAATCAAAAGGGTTATCGGAGATGCCTTGCTTATGGCTTTATGTGGCGTCCAACCTGAAAAGCTCAAACGTACGGTAGACCACAGATCAACGAGACATAGGTAATGCAGATAGCATTTGAATACATAACACCGAGGGGTATCTCCGAAGAAGCATGTCCCTATTTAATTGGCTATATATATTTGGCCTAATAATATGAAGTTGGGTATACGTAAGGTAGGTACGCTTGTAAGTTCTTTTTTTCATGTGTGAAGCTGGAGTACCAGCAATGCTCTTGTATGTTTTCTCACAAGCAAGTCGACATTGTTCTCTTTAGTTCCACGCAGGGATTGACCACTGAGGTGTTCGACAACTCCTTTTCATCTCTTGATGGCCAGTCAGACACAGGACTTCCCGATCATTAGTGGTCAAGGTTTAGATGAAAACACTATTGGCCATGACGACCAAGTACGAAAACGACTGTTTATATTCTGTGATGGCACCTGGCAAGATGGTGTTAACAGCAAGCGCCGCTTGACTAATGTTGCTACCCTTGCTCGATGCCTTGATGGTGTAGCTAATGATAACTACCTCCAAACCGTATATTATGATAACGGAGTTGGAAATGCTACTAGTAAACCTGCTAAGCTCGTCGACGGAGTAACTGGAAGAGGTAATATCGATGTCTCGTTCCATATAGCACCAGTTGGCTAGCTAATCTTGAGCAGGTATATCAACTAAAATCAGGAATGCCTACAGCTTTCTCTCCCATAATTTCAATTTCGACCACCAGAGCGACGAAATATTCCTTGTCGGATTCTCCCGTGGAGCATTCGCTGTTCAATGTCTTGCTTCATTCATCAGCCAGACAGGATTGTTCCAAAAACAACACCTATATTATCTGCGGGGGATGTTTGCGTTGTGGAGGAATCAATACTTTAGGCGTGTTGGATCCGGCGAGAGATGTCCGGTGAAAGAGAAGCTGAATGATTATGTCACGAGGTTCCGCAATGAAGGGCTATTACATGAGGTGCGAATCAAGGCCTGTGTTGTCTGGGATACAGTCAGTGCCCTTGGACTCCCAACTCCGTGGCCAAGACCCCTCTCGTTTGTGGGAAAGCAAGTCCCCAAGGCTGTTGAAAATTCCTTTCAAGTTCTTGCATTAGATGAGAGCAGAGCACAGTTCAAGCCATGCATCTGGAATTCCAAGGAACGGAAAGAGACATATTCTAAGCAATGCTGGTTCTTGGGCTCTCACGCTGACGTTGGCGGTAACGGAGACGCGGCCCTTGGAGCGGTGACCCTTATATGGACTATAGGGCAACTCGAAGCGAACACGAATGCAAGCTTCAACAAATCAGAGGTTAATAAACATCTGAAGCACAGATTTCTGGAGTGGGATTTTCACTTGAACGAATGCATCGGTCAATTGCAAGAAACCGCAATTTTATCTGAAATGTCAAGCTCAGGTGAGTGCCCCTTGGTTTATTTGGTTGACCCACCCATTACCCATGATATTAAATAAGGCAACTAATGATGGTTATCCATATCTCCTAACAGGCCGTATGACGAAACCACCATGGTATTGGTGGCTCTCAGGATTTAAGCCCCGAGGGAACTATTTAAAGCCTAATCGCGACGATCCGGACCTTATGCTAGTTCACTTCACTGTCCGCTTTGAAATGGCCGAAAAGCAAAGCAAATGCAAGGCATTAAGAAAGTGGAAGACAGAGATTCAGGATGATGGGGTTGTATGTTGGAGGTTGGAGGAACGAGTTCTCATCGAAGATAGACTCAGTGAAAAAAGGGATAGCAAAGAGTATAAAGAATACAGTATATTCGAAGCTTGGCGCGATGGTCGGTTTACGACAGAGGAAACTGACAGGACCGCATTTGCTGCTCATGTCCGAGGTTTAATTCAGGATCCTGCCGAAGAGTTGAGTGGAAATCTCAACTCCTTTGTATTGTTCCTTAAGAGGAATTTAAAATTTACAGGCTCTTGTCTTGCTCCGAGCAAGATGTACCTACCGTAGGTTACTAGGTAGTTTTATCATCAGAATTAACTAGCACTTTAGTACAATGTTCAGCTTTGTCCTAAGCTTTACATTAATTAACGCCATGGTAAGACCACATTTCAGAAATGGGCCTATGGGTCGACAAGACATCTGGTTACCAGGGTTACCAAAATAGGTAATGTTTAGATTATTTAATTTTATGATCGGGTCTATTCGCCTAATAAAATGTTATTCCGACCCCTTATGATATTCTTAAAAGAACATGTCTTTTTATGAAGTGTTAGAAAAGTTATGAATGTGTATGGGAACCTGCCCTTCCATCCGGAAGTATTTCGGATCGATTCTTACCTTAGGTACCTTAGGTATTAAAGCGCAGACCTTCTGGGCGTGAGAGTTGATAGATAGCACTAATAAGCCTAGGTATCTTCATAAAAGAAGACATCTAATCCTATAAATTTGTTCCTTTTGTAAAATATGTCGTCACTTCGTTTAAACCCCACTGTCCAGATCTGCCAACTTGTGGAACCCCTTGCGAATCCTTAGAGCAGTGTTTTTGTCAAAGCCCGTATCTTTAGCAGCTGCTTTTATTCGTGTGTAATCGATCTTTGGTATCAGGCCCAGTGGTGTAATATTGTAACCGTTCGTGGGCTGGTCTGACGTGAAATGCTGGACCCCTATTTCCATCCCTTCAAAGCCATAGCCCTCATGCCAAGGAATTGTCATGATTCTCGGGAGCCCTTTGTCTACATGTTGGTCATAAAGGTAAAGCTTGACTACTATGTTGACGCAGGTAATAGGCATTGATATAACCGCGAGGTAATAGTCCGAATTCAATACCCATTCATACCACGGTATCGTATTCGCATCTGTCATTGGGGCTATGATACTTGTGTCGAGGCCTGGAAAAACCTTGCGCATGCCCTCGGGGATCTTATATAGATCGAATACGTACAAGAACGCAACAGAAGCCAAGAGTTGGAAGAGTGCGACTCTATTGCTGGCAGGCTTACCGTGCCAGGAGCAGGTCGCGAAGATGAGATATTCGTACCAATAATTGAGCCACGGAAGCCAGAGAATATACCCAAGAGAACGTGAGAAATTTCTCATAAACATAGCTAAAACAAGCAAAGCATTGCTCCTTTGGTTGTGGTAGCCGTGTAATGTCCGTTGTCGAGGTGGTATGGGCGGTATCATATCCTTCGGGGGCAACTCATGGGCCACAATACGGCGAAATAAGTTCTGTACAAACGCCTGGCAATTGAAAGTTAGGTGGTCATAGTTGGGCACAATCTTGGTCAGGTGGCGCGCTATTTACAGGTTAATACTAACAATGTTCAAGATAGATCACGAGGAGTCAGTGTTGAAACTGTACCTTTTGCTTCAATTTCATCATTATTATAAAACGTGTAACCCAGTTCTTGACGATTCCGTTTATATTTCTCCATTGAAGATCCCTTCATGGGCCTTATTCGGATTTCAAGTCTAGGAGAGAATAGAGCCGCGGATCGCACTTCATAATATATACCATCCACTTCCAGCGCATCGTGGTAAATGAGAGACCACAGAAACTCGGGACCGATTTGCTCAAAAGAAAAAAACCCCAGAATCATGACTACGCTCACTAGTCTCCTCGTGTTTTTCTCGTAAAAAAAGTTGTATATAGTAAATAAAAAATTCACAATGTGCCTCCTGTTACGCCAGAAAAATCCCGATATGCCCGGAAAGGTTGAAGGAAACCGTAAGACTGGACCTAGCAGGAAATATTTAAAACACCCGGATATATTGAGTCTTCCATTATGAATCAAGCGTGGAATTCCTAATGGAGTAGGCGAATTTGCTATCGTTCGAATAGAGAGCGCCAACTTATCAAGAAATCGAAAAGCTGGATACGACACTCTGTAAACGGGAATTAGTCGGCGTGTTTCAGTTTTCTTATAACAGCTCAGCAGTTCTTCACGCGATGGCTTTAAAGAAGCGGTAGTTTGAGTAAAATGATTATAAGTAGTCCTAAATGTGCACACGAAGATGCTAAAGAGGCAAGCATATATTGCGCGCCATACGGGCCGACCGGATTCGGGATCCAAAGCAGGATGCGTGGCTTCTTGTTTGATGGTGAAAAGGTACGTGGCGTTGAAATATATTGCTGTAAGCGTCCTTATATGGCGGAATAGGCTGCCACCCTTTTTATCGGTACTGTAAGGAACGAGGGCTTGCAATGCCAATAGGTTCAGCTCGAATGCCCACGCCGAGAGTGTAGGTGATAAGCGCCACATTGTGAAAGTATTAAATCCAAAAGCTCAAGTTATAATAAAATGGTATTACATTGATGAAATTTATTAATAAAAAATCAAATTATCCTCCATATTTATTTACAGCTATGGCTGGCTGCTTGTGAGCCCGTCGAGCAAATTTGATAATATACAACTACCTATAACAATTGGCCGAGCCAAGCCTCTTCCATCGTGTGCTACTCAGCCGCACCTGGACCGGGGTAAATGACGAATGTGACGTAATATTATAAGACATGATGTGCCCCAGCTGAGGCAATGATCTACGTGATCGGCTAGGGATAGGTTTTCTATTACCTGAAGTTATCTCTCATAATTGATGAAATGGACAGCAAGTTCGATAAGTCCAGTCAAGTCTGTACGGTTATTTGGTCTTACATGATTTACCGAACTCGCTGGGGGATGTATTTAACTTGCTTTGCTTTTCTTTTCAAAGCGGGTTTCAACTCCTCTTTGTCACTTGGGCCAAATGAATATCATTAAAAGAGTCATTTTTCATGGCTTAGGGCTAGGGAAAGCTTTCCTAATGCGTGAGGTGATCTCCAGCGGAAAGGCTTTTCCTATGATGCACCAGTAGCTATCAATCTCCATTCCTATAGCTCTTGCTCTACACATAAGTGTCTCAGTAACTATAGCGAGAAGTTCGATATTGAAATGATCGAGGTCGTTTGTTCTGCGTAGAAGGATGTTAAAGAACGCATCTAAGCCGGGAATCGGTGATGATTCTTCCTCGCCCAGAGGATCCGACACAAGAGCTCGCATGTTGGCACCCGTACTAACAAAGCTGTTCAAGAGGTGAATAAATTTGGGTTGGTGGAATGAACCAGGAGAAATGGTAAAAGAGGCAACAGTGAATCGTAGCCAAGCCACTGTATATCCTGGAGATGTTTGATGGTAAGTTTTGGCGTTTGGGTCTGCTCCTTGCTTCAGCATCATAGAAATCGATCCGCTTTGAAGATGCCATGCAAGTTGGCTGCTATCTGAGTCAGGGGTCGGATTTGATGGCAAAGCATGCTCTAAGAGAATTACCCATGCTTTTGGAACTTTAGCTAACTCTCTGGAGTAGTGAATCGCATTCGTACGGCGGGCTTGCTGTGAAAGAAATGAATCTCCGAGTTCATTCCAACGTGGTTTTAGAGCTGATGACAACGCTAGGAGGCTAACATGTTCCATATCTGACCCTCGGAAGTCCATGAAGTAGTCAGGTTTTTTTGATAGAATATGACAAAGATATTCGTCCAGTCTAGCCTCGACGGCCGGTTCACGGAAAAATAAGTGAACTTGGTTGGATGAATGCCCCCATACATTGAATTTGGCTTGGCCCTTTCGGTGCATGTCTAGGATAGAATTCTCCAATTCTTCGATATACTCGAAAGCGATAGTGCTCTCTCCAAGCTGCTTCGCGTACGCAAGAGCCTCTTTCAGTGTAAACATTAGCTTAGATGGGGTATACGTAGCGAATTGTTTGCGGTCGATAGACTCGGGAAATTTAGTGCTCTTAATGTAAGCCACGGAGGATTTCAAGAGGGAAAGGATGGGAATGAATCCGGGCGGTGACTTTGACTCGAGATATATAGACATGCTTTGAGTGCGGAGATAATCCATTACTGTCCGGTGCAAGAATTCGACATAACCGCTATTCGGATTAAATTCCAAGAGGCCACGACATCTTCCATTAAGACGACGAGATATTTTTTTCTTCCTAGTTTCAATCCTTTGTGCGCTTAGGGGCTCTATTGGGACCTTCAGTGCATAATCTGGGTCCTCATCTTCGTCATCGTGGAAGCTGTAGATGAGAAATGAAGCAGGTTGTCTCGTCGCTAGAGCTATCCGCAAAGTTGTTGCTAGTTTCTGGTGATAGAAAGGCTCTACCGAATCAAGAATCTGCCTGAAGAAGACTTCTAAGTCCGATGGGATGTTGTTAAGTCGCCTTCGCATATCCGAGAAACTATCATACTCAGTAAGGCCATTCCGTAATTCCCTTGTAACTAAGAATACCCATAAGAACACGCCGGCTGCTCGTTCCGTGATCTTTTCGATTAGCCAATTAGTATCTTCGGCCTCTGCGTCAACTTCTTCCCACCTGGGGTGCTCTCGCAATCGGCTTTCAACGTACGATCTAATGTCGGGTCTTGTGAAGTCGTGCATATAAAGCTTGCGAGCTTCGTCTCGCCCAAATGAATCTTCAAATATATTCCAAGGCCGACTAGACACGCATAGCTTGACATATGGTGACTTAGAGAGCTCCCGCAGCATTTGGCAGAAGTCAAGATGATCACCCTCATACTCATCCAACCCATCCACGAAAAAACAAAACTTCACACCAAGATCGCTTCGGTCAGTAATCCGTTGAAGAACTCGATTAAGCTCTGGTAGGGTCCAAAACTCGTGGTTCATTGCTTCCGCCGATTTAGACCATCGTTCAGTACAGGTAGTCTCGATAATGTCGGGAATCTGACGGAATATATCATATAGTAATGTCTGAAGTAACCCCTGGTAAGACTTCTGCATTGAAGTACCGGCACTCCAGAAATAGTGGCGAGCTACGATAACAGGATCGGGATATGCCCATTGGGAAAAGGTCTCAATAGTAGTGGGATGGTCGGATATGTATTTCATAAGAGTCGATTTCCCCGAACCCGGTTTTCCAGAAACCCAAAATATGCCCTCCGGATTCTTAAGCCATCGGATTAAGTTGCCTGAGGCGGATCCCACCCGAGAACTGCTTGCCTGTGTATCTTCAAACACCCAGCTTAATGTCTTTTTGTGGGCTTCTTTTATAGAACAGTGTCGTGTAGCCCGACTATCGAAGCTCAGGCTTGATATAATTATGTGCTCCTTGGCAGCATCTTTCTGTGATGTAGATAATTTAGATATTCGAGTTTGAATCGACGCAATGTCGTCCACGGTGAAGAGACTATTGTAATGTTCTAGCTTTATACCCCTTGTACGTAGCTCAATAATCAACTTTGAAATGTCAGAAAGTTTTGAAGACTGCTCTGAGCGCATACGATAATTCTCTGTGCGTAGGCTATCTAGCTGGCGTTGATGAACTCCTTGCCAGTAACTAATTCTAATGTTAGTTCCACAATGACCTTCAAGACGAGAGCAATAGACTTGGTTACTTAATACCTTGTCATTGCGCAAATATGAAGTATTAGAGATGTCTGTGTATGATGCAGGCTTTGCTCTAGGTCGGCGATCTTATTGTCCTTCCAAACAGTTTTTAAAGCCAGTTTAAAGCTTTTCCATCGTGTGTGCGTTCCATTTTTGTCTTTAAGCTCTCTCACGGTCTCCAAGAGTCTGTCGCAGTTCAGCTTACACGTACTAGCCAAGTCGCTGATTGCCAAGACATGTTGTAAAATCTCCCTTTCCTTTACCTCCTCAATTAGGAGGTCCCTTTGGAAAGATGTCTCAAGACTTGAGCTCAAGTTTCGAAGCTGTCCATAGACAGTATCGAGCGTCTCAATCTCACCGGTGCAGCCCTTTGACGAACTATAGATCTCTCTCGATTTTGAAATCAAGCCTGAAGTGAACCCGATGAATTGTACAATGCTTGCCGAGAGCCCAAATGCCGTGAGTGGGTCCATACTCGAGACACTTGTATCCAAGAGGTGGATTGAACGATGGGCATAAGGGGTTGATTTTTGACGACAATTGGAAACGATGGAGAGTCGAAATATATGTAATATGTATAGTGATTGGTGATACCTAAGATATTAAAGTACCTCATTGGTTGAAACTAGCCCCATCTCTCTAATACTTCCTCAAGCACTGCCCCAATAATAGACCTGGGGTTATCATGTAGTCACTAACAGCGGGGGCTAGATATTTCCATCCGAAAACTTTCAAAAGTTCTTAATAAATAGTTTTTCTTTTATTATTAATATACTCCACTCCTTTACAATAATAAGCGCCTGGTATATTCAGCAGATAGAAGATTTACTTAGTTGATAGTATCGCATCATGCTTTCTTAATCTTGCTCCATCCTCCTTGTTCTTGAATTTTACTCTCTAGGACATCTAATCCCGTCAACTTCTTCTTAAATCCATCGAAGAATCCAATAGGGAGGAATGAGAAAAGTCGTATTAGTAATGTGTATTGACCACGCCATACCCAATGAGGCGGATGAGGCCGACTAAGATCATCAGCAACCTGGGTTGCCCATTGGATAGGATCGCCGAAATTCTTAGTAGAGGTGTCATTTCCCATGGCCTTCTCAATGGCCTCCTTGGCTATATTGTATAACGAGGTAGGAGGCAGAATAGGAATGGGCGTGTTGTCGAAGAAGTTCGACTGCACAGAGCCGGTCATAAGGTTGATCACCTTGACCCCGAAAGGCGCCAGCTCCAGCCGCATGGTTTCGGTAATGCTTGTTGCGGCTGCCTTGGATGCGTTGTAGGCGCCCTGAAAGGGAACGGCACCGGCTGGCACCGACACAGCTGATGTGTTATTGACTACCATGCCATTCGATTCAATAAGGAGCGGAAGAAAAGCACGTGTCATTCTGATTATTGAGAAGACGTTTAAGTTGAATAGCTCCTGAGCTTTCCCAATATCGATATCCATTAGGGGTAAAGGATACCCGGCTCCAGCATTGTTGAGGAGAGCATCGAGCGAGCCACCCGTGAGCTCTTTGACTTTAGTAACGCTATCTGCGATCGACTCTTCGGATAGAATATCGAGTTGTATAGTCTCAATACTAGCGGATTCAACTTCTTTTAGTTTAGATGGGTTGCGAGCCGACGCGAAAACTCGCCATCCGATCTTGTGAAAGGCGAGAGCGAGCGCTGAGCCTAAACTACCATCAGAGCAGCCAGTAATTAATATAGTTCGTTTTTGTGACATAATGACTTGTAATATTTCTGTATTGTTTCCGTATTTTACATATTCTAGATGATGTAGCGTCGGAGATCAAACCCCTTAAATAATTCTTAGAATATATATGTCTATTACAAACCCACACGGCTAAATTGGCCTATAGTTTCACGTAGCGGTGGAATACTTGTCCCGGTCCACCAGTCGGAATAACGCAATATCATATAATTATCATACTTAACCCTAGTATAACAGTGGCGACACGGGAAATCTTTTAGTCAAACTTGAAAATAATAGTTAAAACTAAGGGTATAATCCCCAAAATATCGCACATACAGGGGTAGACACGGTATTCCACGACAATCTTTCAATTGACTCGGTCTAACATCTAACAAATAAAATAACCACGAACATACAGCTTAATACAGTGAAATATTTTATGAAGCGGCATCATGTAAATCTGTAAGATTTTCTCCTGTATACGGCTTGATCTCCTGTAATAGAAAGTTCACGTCAACAGAGTTGACATAATAATAATCGCCTTCTGGCTTTTCGTTGTCCTTCAAACTTTTTTATTATACGAGTAACAATAAAATAATTTTCATTACATTTACTTATCAATTTCGTATTTCGAACCTGTCTTCTAACGGATATTTTAATTAACTACCTCATTACCATAATATTTTGAATATTACATATCAATAAGGAGGCTAGCATAACGCCACCCCCTAATGTCTCCACATATAAATACAGCATCTAATTCTATGAATTACAAGTATACTTGGGAGATGTCAGGATTTTAGATGTCTCATCTAGAACAAATGATGTTTATTACCTGTTGTATAAACGTAGAACCTCGTATATAGTTTAACTTTCCTTGCGGAATCACGAAGTAATTTCCATGTTGCTTGGTTCTACGACTTATTATTATTATATGTACGAATAAAAAAAATCTTACGAATAAAGAGACCGAGTAAAGTACCAAAGAAATTCAAATAAAATGTAAAGACAATCGATAGAGAGGCGTGGGTAAAACTAAGTCTATTTACGACTAATTCCCTTGGGCATTTGCGGCAAAAGCTGCAATTAAGCTCAAAAAGTAAACGATGCACTAATGGCGCATGCTAACTAACCCCCCCCCATACAAGACGTCTATCCTCATAATCCCTAAAACTGAATAAAATGCATGAGCTAAATGCACCGCACTGTGCGTGGTATACCATGCAGTTAATTATCTAGCGGATCTTAACCTTGATGTATGGCACCTCTACGTCTTCCTCATCCAAGTCCTCAGCCACCATCTCGAAGATGAGCTCCTTCTGGTGTTCCGGAATGGGCTTCTTAGAGACAGTCTCCACAAGCTGACTCAGCTTGAGCGGGTATCGCTCCTTTAACTTCGGCGGCGGGAAGAAGCTGGCGTAAAGCAGGCTTACTCCCGAGCTCAACATGCTAATGTTGAGACCACGATCTTGAAAGTCTTTTAGCAGGTCATTTAAGGTTATGTCTTCAACCTCAAATCGATCCCAAATCTTGTCTAGCGTGACCTTGCCGTCTGGTCCCTTATATTCAACCTTGGGGCTGGCAATAGGCTCGCTGAAGCCAAAGAACGGTAGCGCGAGGTTGATAAAGCCGTTCTTGTATTGCTCGATATCATCTTTTCCGTCGATGATCTTGTACAGCTCTAGGATAACAAGACCTGTGACCAATGCCGTCGTAGTGGCGATAGCCGGGATGATCTTTCCGGCGATAAATTTCGTCTTGTGCCTATCAGCCTTCTCGATCTTGTAGTTGTCAGCTCGTAAGTTGCTGGCCGCTGTGATGAAATCAATATGATGATTGGTGTCATCGTCCTTCTCGAATTCAACAGGCATCAACTTAAACCCGGCCAACTCGCTGGGGGCCGGGAGGCTGTCGACGATATTCTGTATCTCGGTGTTGTCGTCAAATGCAGAGGCATTTTTGTTGGAATTCGGATCCTAATAAAAGAGGTTAGCTATGGTTCTTGTAAAATAAGACTTAACAAATTGTATACACCTACAGGGTCGTTATCGTTGGCCTGGATTTTGACACCCGGATCGGGTGAGAAGTCAGGAACGATCATGTTATCCAACACCTTTAGGTATAGGTCCTTGTTCACACCCTTAGTCTTGATGCCATAGTTGAATGCGTGGAGGTTGGCAGCCGCAACGATGAAATTGAAATGAGTAGGATTCTTTGGGTCAAACTTCAATGGATCAGGGGCACGTTTGGGGCCGGACCAGAAGGGAGTACCGCTGGAGGACACGGAATCTTTCGGGAAGTTGTAAAGGAGCTGCTGAATCGCGTTATTGTACTGCTTCTCGAATAGCATTCGCGCCCAGATGACACAGTCTTCAAAGCTAAGAGGCTTATCCGTTACAAGGTAGTCACGAATCGTCTCCAGAGTCGGCTTTTCGTTACCACCCTGCTTAAGTGTTGTATCGAGATAGTTGGGTTGAGACAGATACAAGTTGACTGTTTCGGCAGACTTTACGAATGATGTCTCGAAAAGCTCGCGGGCCCACGCGATCGTGTGCTCAATCTTGTTCGGAAAACTTCTTAAAGTGCACATAGGGAATGATACCTCAGGCGGATCCTGAGAGGATGAGTAGGATTCTGTTAGCATGGGGAGGACCACCTGTGTGTTTCCTTTGGTGCCGAGAGTACCGCTCTCGAGAAGAGGTTTACGGAAGAAGACGCATCGTCGGTCAACGTAAGTTCGTGCCTCTACGTTGTCCAGAGCATTTGTAACTCCATCCAAGGATTCCCAAAATTCCTTGTTGAAAATGTGCTCAGTTTCGGGGCTGACACGATCTTTCAAGCACTCAATATGGCCTACGAGCTCCGGGTTCATAGCCTGTACGGCCTTGGCAGCGCAGTCACTCTTCATCTGACCAACGTCCTTGGGTCGGAACAAGAATTGACGGTTTAGATTGCTCTTCTCAATCGAGTCCATGTCGGTAACAGTAATCTTACCGTTAGGTCCTACACCTAGACCAATCATGGCCCAGTTCTTGAGCATTTCGCAGCCGATTGCACCCGCACCAACAAGGAACTGTTTGACATTTGCGATCTTGTCTTGGTATTCTTTACCAAAGACTGCGATTTGACCATCGTATCGAGATCCGATTGGTTTGCAGAGCTCCTCGGTTCGGGCACAGCTAGTAGGAAGAGACTCTAGAGAGTCAAAGTAAAACCACTGCTTGATTGGATGGAACTTTCCAGAGACAGCCTTTAGAACTTCCTGCGCAGTGAGACCACCGAACAGAGCAGCCATGGGGTTAAGATCTCCCTGGGCCTGATAGCTAAGTTCCTTAATAAGCTTTTCGTCGATCTCAAGGTCCAACTTCTCCTTTTCGATGAAGGCCTTGACAGATGCGACAACAACAGCAGCATCTTCCTCGTTCTTCGGTCGGGGTAGACGACCCTGAGACTGAGCAAAAGCATGGAGTGCCTCGAATCCGACATGGAGCTGTTGGGGTCGGTCGAACTTGGCGAAGTCGGAGATAACGAACTCGGGATCACGGATAGCCGCAGAAATCGTCTTGAATTCGAGGAATTTGGGCATCTTAACTTGCTGGTAGAGACCTCCGCTCTTGTACTGACCAAGTCCGGAAACATCACCAATGGAAAAGGTATAAGGACCCTTAACCGTTACTTTTCTCGGTTCAGCGCCGTTCAAAGCCTCCATACCCTTAACTTCGGAGAATGTAACGTAATCGCCGTCCTCTAAGCCGTGACGAGTCTCATCTAATGCAGAAACTAGACCCTCCTCGTCGATACCAGCTACTATTCCGTTGACTGGGTTTTCACCGGTCGCATCGAGGCACGTGAATTCGCTGCCAAAGTCGCAGAAGATCGAGCCGAATAGTCCAAAAGTATCTGCAACTACAAAGTAAATACCTTTTGAGTGGCAGTAATCGCCAATAATTAGCTGAAGGTGGAGAGGGGTGTTGGTTAAGACGACAACTTGGTATTTGTCAAATTGGGAGAGGTTGTCACCGAGGCTGTTTAAGTTATGGTTAGCCCATAGTATCATCAGTAGGATGGTTACTCTACATACTTAGGTGATTCATGAATACCGACGGGTGTATAGGCATTCAGCTCGGCGACACGGGGAGCTGTGGCAGCATCGCGCGGCTTTCCGATATCATCTGGGCGGAGGAAGAACTGAGATGATAGGTCGGCGATGGCAACGGGTGTGGGATCGTGGAGGGTTAGACTCTTGACACCAGCAAGAGCTATATTCTTGGAGATCTCAACGCCGAGGCCTTTCAAGCCAACAACAAGCACATTGGATGCGCCCATACGCTTCATGGCTTCGTGGCCGAGAACATAGAGCTGTCGGCTGTAAAGTGATTCGTCGATCTCGCTTTGGCCAACGATAGAGTTGTCGACCTGGACTCGGGTGACCAGATCGACTTCGGGAATGCCCGAAGCCATTTTGGTATCCTGTTAAATGGTTTATGCATTAGTACTTGGGTATAAGCAAGCAGAAGATAGTTATTTGGGTTTATGTACAACAGCCGCCGTCAAATAAAACAGAGTAGAGATAGCGCATGAGGGTAGTAGGCGAAAAAAGATAGTGTGTCTACTTACGGTCATGGTTCTCTTGGGGGAGAAAGGCAGATCTCCGTTCTCGTGTTTGCGCTTCCCCAGTTTGGCGATATTTGCTCTACTGGAGCTTGCTTCTATGATACTTATGAGATGCGATAACGCAGGATACGGGTACGGGTACGGGTACGGGAACGGGAACAGGAACGGAGGGGGATGTAGTAAAGGTTGAATGAGACGACGATGGGAGGATCAAAATGTACCCAAATAGAAGAAACCGACAACCCCACCACCAATACCAACAACGAGGCTAGGCTGACGGATCAATCAGGCGGATAGATACGAAATGACGTAGTTGTTAACTGGCCAAAAAGAGAAGTGTTGATGTTATAGTGAGAGAAAAAGACCAGCTTTAAAAGAAGGAGGTTAATGTTTTTATTTTTAAGGACACTTCTTCGAATAGGTTCGGGTTCTTACTTCTTACGGCGACTGCAGTTTAATGAGAAAAGTTACTAAGGCGAAGTAGAAAGCTCTTGCACGTTTCTAAAGAGCTTAGGTTAGTAGTTTGCCCGCCGGGTGCCTGTCTGAGGGCGGCATGATTTCTCAGCAAATCATGCACCGTCATGGTGGGGTTAAACGTGGCTCAAGCATCCATGAAATTCAGGTACAATGGATATGTACTTCTCACATGTATATTAGGTGTGGCGTATTAGTAACTCCCGTCTTCTTCACGTTTCCATAGAAATATATCCGACTTGAAATAATCGATTCATTGATTTAAACGAAAACTATTCTATAAAGTTAAGTACATCTTACACCATATCACCACTACTGTTTTAATAGCGAACCCCTCAAGCTTAAGAAAGACACTTTCAAAATCTAAATAATTCGATTGATCTAGAAGAGCCCCGAAATTCCACATTATGGCCTATCAACTCAACTATTCAAATTGAACATTCCCTTATTAAAAGTTTCCTATCCCCATGACCAAGCCCACAATAGCATCATGCTTAATAGACTACTAACAAGTACCTACCTATAACTTCCAGTCATCTCAGCATTAATTACTATCCCCATCTTCGGCCAAAGCGGACAGGTTCCTTTTCTCTCCGTAGTTATATATCTGTCTACTCGTTAGCTCGTCTCCGTTTATACATGTTACGCAAGGATAAAAGAAGAAGGAAAAACTAACATAATGAGCCCCAGTCACTCTCAAGCCGTGCTTTTTGGTACTAAAAATTGAAGCGGCAACAACGCCCGGGTTATTAGTGATAGGGGCATGATGGTGAGTTTCACCAATGTTTATACCGTCGACCTAGGAGTAAAGTGGTTAGCCCTCTATCCCATCCCGTTTCTTAATCATGCCGTAAAATAAGAGGTACTCATGACGAACTTTCTGGTTTTCTGCAGCTTTTTCATCAAGATCCTGAATCCATCTGAACAACATGTCTGAGATCTTAATGAATCCTGGTCGGAAGTCCCCGTCAAACTTAGGCATGCTAGCATGATTCTTCTCAATGGCGACGGGTGCGATGCCCGGGAGCGTAGCCGAGGCTTTATCTACTATGAACCCTATATTATAGGTCGGTAGTCCCTCGAAGTAACAGGCAATCTCAATCCAGGGGGACCTTCGATCTCTCTCCTTAATCAGCTGGGCGAAATTATTGCTGATCTCGACTAGAGTCTTGGATCTCTCTTCTAGGTCTTCGATTAGTTCCTTGTTAGTAGTCGAAATGAGAGACATCAGATCCGTTGCGATCTCTGCCCATCTCGCTTGCTTAGAACCGGCAAAAGGCGTCCCGAGGAAGATATTCGCAACTATGTGAGCCACTGCATCGATACCAACTCTCGTCTAGCAGAGTTCTGTAACTTGAACCCGGAGCTAAAGCACGAGATCGGAGGTGTCATAATTGAAAAATCAGGGGGGATGTAAGTGTTCCTTTTCGCATCTTCAAAATCCATCTGCAGGTAGACTGATTACTGATAAATATACTTATAGGTTCCTTCTTGTCCGGTTGCACATGGAATCCTTAGAAGCCGAAGATGTGGTCACTACCTACATCATCCGGAAGAAACTCGCCGGTTTCAGTAACAATCTCACGGACAAATATCAAGACATTATGGATCGAATCAGTAAGCAATCACTACTTCGCCAGGAGATCCTAACCGTCTTTAACAAGGACGAGGATAGCATGTGTTTCATCATCATCATCACTTACAAGCTCTAACAAACTGTGATAACAGTGGCAAAACTCCTTACTCAGCACGGGGCAGACGTGAACACTCGGGATCCAGAAGGGGGCAATGTGCTCTACTGGGCGGCAGCCGGTGGACATGTCAATGAGGTGCGATTTCTCCTCGACCAGAAGGTCAACCCTTCCATAACCACGGCTTATTTCTGGGCGCCTCTGCACTGGGCGTCGGCGAATGGGTATATCGAGTGCGTCAAGTTACTCCTTGACGCCGGGGCCGAGGTATCGCCAGTAAGCGACACGGCTCTAACGCCTCTAGACCTAGCAATCGAACACAAGAAGGTCGAAATCGAACAGCTGCTGAGGAGCAAGGGCGCTAAACGCGGCAACGAGATTGGGGAAGAATATGGCGGTCCGAGATATTCATACCGACATAGTTCGGAGAGCGAGGATGAGGAGACGACCAAGGAGACGAAGATGATGGCGAAGATTAAGATGAAGGCGAGGAAGACGAAGAATAAGTTAAGGTCGAAGATTCCTCGAGCGAGGGTTCCCTACGAAGAGATGGGAGTCATCCAAGTTGATTATTGACATTGATATCAATATAACAATTAAAGAAAAAGCTGAAACATTTTAAGGTAGTTTTAATTCCAATTTAGTTGTTTGATTTAATCCTAATACTGTCCCTAAAATTACCCCTTTCCCCCTTTTTTTGTTGGTAGTGAGACAATTTGTAAGAGTATGAGAATGTCTTTCTGCAAAACATCAAGACTTAATCTTGTTCGACCCGTTATACAACCCTCCTTATCACATATTCCCATTCATGTGCACCTTCAGCAGAGAAACGAATAAATGTCTTGTCTTATCACGTCCTACGTCCTAGTCAAGATTAAACTGAAACTATTTAGTTTGGATTCATCCCATTGAGCCTTAGATTAACACTAGAAGTTAGAATGACAGCCCATTTCCTTCAGCTAAATCCCCCTTCGCAGAAAAGCGTCTAATATACGCACCCTATTTCCAACCCCCAAATAATTATATACCTCATCCTGTATGTATAACTGGCTGCCCCTTGCCTCGGCCCAGTATCCGTCAGTAGAAACCCAATTAAGCCTCATTAAGTAGAGTCCTCAACTCATTCTATATTCCGTAAATCATTAATCGTGCGTCGCTGTGACGGGTCTCTCGTTTAATGAGCGTGAAAATCTCGGGGGTATTGAATAATTATGCTTCCTATACCATGCAAATGCCAAGTCCCTGGTAGAACCGTTATTCCTATACCACCGTAGTGAGCGTGAGAATGAGTAAACCTGTCCGCGCGCCATTTCATTGCCCTCCTGATACCATCGTATAGTTATTAAGGCGATGTAATGCTACAGCCGAGAAATCTAATTGGCTTGAAGGATGGGTTCGAATAGAATATTTATAAGGTTTTTTTCTCTTTCATTGAATATTAGGTTAAAATATTAAGTATATATTTGACTGCATCAGAGGATGAATAATAATATAAGGGCGATGATGGAATTAGACGTAGCTCCGCCGTTTAAAACAGCGGGCGCCCCGGCTGTGGAAACCGTATTCGGTGCTGTTGTGCTGCTCGGTACTGTAGCAGGCGATGTTACAGTAGGCGTTATTGTAGGCGTGATGCTGCTACTCGCTGACGAAGTAGAAGCAGGTTCTGGGGTCGAGTTAGATTCTCCATTGCTGCTGTCGGTGCTTATCGTACTCGACGTCCCAGTAGAGGTGCTAGCTCCCGAAGATGACGAAGTGACGATTTCTGAAGAGCTGAGAGAAGAGAAAGTGCTCTCTGAAAAGCCAGAAGATGTGCTTTCCAAAGAACTAGAAGAAGATATACCTTCGGTTGGACTGAAAGTAGAAGAAGCTGTGCTCTCGGAAGAGCTGGTAGGAACAGTTGTTTCTGAAGAGCTAGAAGAAGAAGAAGAAGAAGTGCTCCTCGACAAGCTTAGACTAAGAGACGCGCTCCTAGAGGAGCTAGAAGTAGAAGAAGACGAAGACGTGTCTTCTGAAGAGCTGAAAGAAGACGTACTTTCGGATGTTGAAGAGGAGGATTCGGCCGTAGAAGAGGGCGTGGTCGAGAAAGTTGGTGTGTTTGAAACTACACCAGTCGTGCCTGGCGAAGCTCCACTGCCTGTAGACAGTCCAGGAGTAGTTGTGACCTCTCCCTCAGGGGCACTCTGGCTCGGAGAGACTGAACTAGGGCTGTTTGCATCGCAGTAATTGAGCCATTGAGTCATTGAGTCATCTGCGTAGTTCTTAGTACCGGCTTTCCACGTCCCCCCGTTATGTTCAATGCATGTTTGGCAGGCTTGACGGTATGTCATGAATACAGAGCCTGATGCGCAAAGCTGGGGTATCTTTCCAACACTTTGGGCCGCTATAACAGCGTTATTGCAAATGGCGTAGCACGTCGTTGGTAACGTCTCATCGCGTTTACTAAAAGGTAGGAATCTCCTCACTATCGCTCTTGGATAGCCCGGCTCTGGTGTGCTTGAGGGTGGATATGCCGTAATACTCGTCTGTGATTCATAGTCGCCTGTAGAGGTCCAGATAGTGGTGGTCACACCCGAGATGGTCTCTGTAAGTAATTCGAGCTTAGGGGGATCAAATACACCATAGCTTAACCCAAAAGCCGGCGGTGCAAGGTCAAAGTAGCCGTCCGTAAGAGGATAGTACCCTGTTTCATTATCACACCATTGAACGGGGGTATAAACTGGTGCTGGTATACAATAGCTCTGACTCTCACAGACGTATGCTTGATCTGGAAGATCAGGCCAGATACTACACCCATTCGGTTTTGGAGGAGAACAGACGGTTCCAGGTGGACATCCCCAAGTTAAATCGGCTGAGGCGTTATAAACAGGTACATTGAAGCTCGGAGAGTTGGTCGCTGCGGGACAGACGGACGAAGTGACTGTAGTTGGAGGTACTGTAGTGGTAATATACTCCGGTACTATAGTAGTAATAAATTGCGTCGTAATGAAAGTTGTAGTACTTACCACCGAATCGGTAACTGAGATCTCCGAAACGGTGAGGAACGTAGTAGTAGATATCACTGTAACATACGATGTAGTCTCTTCTGTCGCAGTCACGGTAGCAGTGTCTGTAGTTGCTGAAGCTGAAACGGACACAGCAGTTGTCGTTAGGGTGTCTGTAAGTGTCGATAGAATGCTTGTTGTATAAATCGAGATACTTGTGTAGGTTGACGTGCTGTATTCAGTCGTAGTCAATGTTCTGTCGGATATGACCGTAGTTGGGATCTCAGTTGTGAAGGTGAGGGTAGCCGTAGTAACAGTAGGTACGAGAGATATATAAGTTGTCGTGGTGGTCTCTATATCAGTAAGTGTAGCGGTCGTCGTCTCCTCGTCGGTAGTAGTAGTCAAGGAGATGATAGTCTGGTTATTAAAGCGCGTAACATAGGCAGTAATAGTTCTCGAGTTGGTAACGGTCTCTGTATCTGTCTCTGTTTCCGTCTCTGTGTCCGTTACTGTATCCGTTACTGTATCCGTCACCGTGTAACTATAACTAACAGTATCGAATACGGTAGTAACATCGCTTTACCAAGTGTTAGCTATATAACTTTATATATAGCCTGTAGTACTTACTAGACTGTAGTAGTTTCTGTTTCGTAGCAAATCTCTGTAGTCGTCTCCGTAGCCGTCTTCGTAATCGTTTCGTAACAAGTTTCGGTAACTGTTTTCGGTTTACAGTAGGACCAATGCGCTTCAGAGAGAGAAGCTTGCGCTCTTGTGAGCCAAGTTAGGGTGATGGCCGACAAGGCCCCAAACCGATGGACCAAAACCATTATAGCGCAGATGAGCGTTGTTAAATTGGTTGTTTGCACCTGGGAATGTTAAATAAACCCTGATTTTAGGATGTGTCCTTGTAGCGAGCGTCCGTCCGTCTATAGCGAGCGACTCTTGTATCAAGAGCGTAACGGTAAGTTGAAGGAGAAAACGACCGATGAGGTAGATTCTTTGTAGCTCCCAGCTTATATCCCTGACCAAAATAGATATTGGCGAAGTAAGCGAGGCTTTGAGTTCCTTTCAGCTAAAATCCGAACAACTAACTGGGCGATATGTCCATGAGCTAACTAGTATGGGGTCTAGTAGACTTATCCTAGACGATTCTCTTATACCTAGCTGAACTTCAACGAACGTCGTCAGCTCAGTAACAGACAGCTGGTATACCCTTCCTAGCTCAAGGCTAAGACGTGGCCTAGTTGCTTGTATAAAGAGCTGATATCTGTGAGAAACAGAAGTAGAAACGTGGTTCCATGAAAAAGAAAGCTACGGGGTAGCTCTAGAAGAGGGACAGCAGCATGGATAAGGCTGAGAATGAGAGTGGGAGGGAACAGCAATGTCAACAACACGAGCCATTGGAATCGACAGGTACCAAGCTTAGGTAGTTGCATATCAAGTAGGTACAGAATACGGATCAAGTCTGCATGCTTAAAATCTCCACGACAGTTGTGTGCAACCTGATATCCCTGCGAAGAAAAAAGCCCGTCAGCCCGCCAGTTGCATCCCTGGACACGATTGTGTGGAGGAGGGTGCCGATGTATTGTACATAGATATTTGTACCACTACCCCGGACCACCATGTTCGGGTTCTCAGCTAGCCTTCGCGACAAGTAAAAATAATTCAAACCCATCTACTCCTGGTACTAATGATCTGCCTTGAAACATTGCGAGCAACAGTAGACGATGTAAAGCTCAAAGTTGATAGGAGGGCAAATTTCAAGGTGACATACTGTATTGAATAAGAAATTAGAGCAATACAAAAGGCGGACAAGTACAAAAGTGCGTGACCAAGTCCGCAATAAGCGAAGCGGATGCTAGGACGAGGTATGCAGGTTAGCAAGGCATTTGGGGGACGAGGCTCTTCTGCAACCAACAGAAAGCAGCCGCACAACGCATCGGACTACAAACCCAAGTACCTAACCAGGGTCTAGACAAGGGGCGATAACGGGTCGAGAGAGTGGGCATGGGTCAGGATACGAAGGCGGGGCATGTAGTGTATACCATCGTGCATTGCGTATCCTACACTATACAACATAATGGTGTATATAACCTCTCATTGAGGTAGTGGCCAAGCCCGAGATCGTGCGTGAGGCGGGTCTCTTGGGACGGGACTGCAGGGGTCCTTGAAGGATGAGTGGACGGATTCAATGTTCGCTGCATCTTGTCACGTCTGTCATAGCCAACAGCAACGTACCCTGAGGTGAAGACCGAGCAGAGAATGCGTAGTACCATCGTTCGTATGCTTTAGGTAGGATTGCCACTTGTTGATACCTAATAAGAGGCTTGTGAAAGCAATACTTGCAGGACCGAAAGAAGACCGACTATTGAATGTAGCCAATAGGGTGTCAATGTCATCATCTTTGCCAAAGCATTAACAAATTTGATAGACGTGCCGCTCGTTACACAAATCGGCGGTATCGAAAGCTCTCTTACCCAAGGTCGCTATGTAGGTCGCCGATAGATGGCTGTACTTGGCTATTTTCCCGGTTTTCCAGGCACGACCTCTTGCCCTACTTAAAGCCAATATCCCGCGATTACAGGAATCATGATGAATTCCATCGACTCCTTGAACCAACTATACCTCGGTAAGATGAGATGGAACGTAGCCATAGTCGTATAATGATGAAATATTAACATATCGGCAAGGTTAGGTACCTAATTGGCTAAAATCACCTCACTCGTATACATATTATTCGTACGAAGGATTCTTAAGACACCGCGAGGTGTGCTCGGACAAGCTAGAAGGCCACATACGGGAGGTGTCCAATCTCGAAGAAGCCGGGCGGGGTAAGTTGAAATCTCGTCACTTACATACGGGTGTGTAGTACCCGTTGTACTGTTCCAGCCATGTGGGATGGATCAGACATTATGAGGCGTAGGTAGAATATATCGTGGTATAAGCTTACCGCGGAGATGGATTGGGTCGTAAGGATCTCTTGTGTGTAGTGTTAGGTAGTTTATCCGTCTGTCTGTCTGTGCAACTTTGCAACTGTGCAACTATGTAAATCTGTAGGAGCACTGAACAAGACTTCCATACGGCGGGGTCAGGTTACTTAAGCTTACCTACCTAAAGCAGGAATAAATAAATAAAACTTGAAGATTAGGTAGCATGTAAAGAGGTTAGTGTGGTGGTACAGAGAATTTCTATTAAGAACTCTTTTAACTCGTTAAGGTTATAGATTACGTCTATCCCGACAGTTTTAGTCTAGGGTCACCCGAAAATCGAGGATTAGTTACTAATTAGATAGCTGTATTAGATAATAGATCCATAACGGGCACTACCTTAGGGACCTAAGGGACCTAAGGGACCTAACAGCCCTAAGGATTAGGTATCAGACGCTAAGTGGGGAATAAAAAGTACCTCTTAGTCGAAGTCGGGGATCGGACAATGTCTTAGGTTAGAAGGTACCTGATTTGAAAAATATTCTCTCCACTTCAACTTTCCCTTTCCCTCTTCAAGCACCTCTCCAACAAAGCGGAATCTTCGCCGCCAAGGTTGCAAGCCACTTTATTTATATTGTGCTAATACAAGGTTACTTTTAGTTCCAGAGAGTTGGGAGAGCCAGTTATTGTCTTCCATACAGTCATACGAGTAAGACCCGAAAACCGACATCTAGACCAATATCCAGCCTGGTTTGTAACGTCTCTCTTCTTTCTCGGCTGGCGATAGGTATTCGTTTTAGTCCCAGGGTTGCCGGTATGGCTCTACCGATGCCGAATACGCCGAATACATCCTTAAATGTTCTTCATAGAAATTACTATAACTATACCTACATAGTAGATAGTTAGGCATATGGTATGCGGATTGATCAACTCTAAATATACGCGGATGAGTGTCCAGAGTTCCCCTCATTCCAATTCTGAAGTTGTATCGACAACTCACACTACCTCGACCTAAACCAATTATGGTCCTACCCACCCTGCCACCATCGAACTTGTCTGCAGCAAGGATATAACTTCGTCCAACGAGAACACAGTAAGGACACTCTCACGTTATTTACATACTATAGTACCAATCGAAAAAAGTTATCTTACAAGGATAATTCTTACATGGGTGTCTCTTAATCTATGTCTTCGACGTTCCATTGGAAGCTGCCCCGGTCGTCTTATCCAATGTTGGGACCATCATACATCTTATTGACTCTGACGTACAGATTCTCAGCTCCAATTCTTGCATTTTTTCTCTTAGACTCAGCATAATTGCTCCATTCTCAGGTGTAACTACCATGGCTTAATTGCGTGCTATGTTACATGATAGTTTAAGACAATAAGAAATATGCTAATATTGATTGTCCCTCTTACGCTTATTCTTGTCGATAGATAGATACTATGTCACATCAAGCCGGTAGCATATGCGGCCAAAGACAAGGCTGAGTCTTCAAGTGAGCTGACCTAGCCGGTCCAGTCTATCCGGTCACCCTCCACTGGTGGTCATGTAAATGCGGGAAAGGCTTTCTCGGCTCTCGAACCTCTGCGAGAGAGAGGCAAAGTCTTAGGCTCTTTGTCCTTCTAGTTATCTATTTAGATTGATGTGCAACTATCAACCCTCCAATCACTACAGATAGAACCCCTCGGAGGTTGTTTCTGCTTAGTATCACTTGACTGGCAAGATTCCAATAATCTGCCGCGAACCCGAGTAGCTTTGAGAGATCTTTTTGTTCCGTCACGTTCTGAATTTTATTTTACCACGTTTTTACACCCGTGGCCACCGTGTGCGCCTCATTTGTTTGGCCACTCTAGACAAAGGACGGTTCTCTTCAACCTTCCATATTCGTCTTGATCTTTATCTCCTCGGCCGTCGCCTTACGCGAAAAATCCCTTAGGTGTTAGTATCTTGGCAGCCCAACCCCAAGGCTGTCATTGATTCTTAGTTCTATACTGTACCAAGTATTTCATTGTTGTAGTGGCTTTGCCTCAAGTTGGTCTGATGGGCGTCCAACCCGCAAATTCAATCCCTGTCGCGAAATGAGCCTCACTCATATTTTCAACTCTCTCCTCAACTAAACCATTCGCCGTGTTTCTCATAATCGGCAAACATAGCAATAAGACACGATGTATCGGTCTAGAATATCCTGGTTAATCTTTTCCATGAGATGGCTGGCTGTATCCGTCTACGGCCAGCTTTCGGGATGGATAGAGAATCAGCAGAACGCAACTATGTGTCTATGGGACATGCTTCGGGGTAAGACTCTATTGTAACCTGATCTATCGCAGATAATTAATACTTGAGTAGTTGCTACACTCGGAGATACAGTCTATATAGATGGCGGTCAAATATACTGGGTTGCAGGTCTTACAGATGGATCAATAACGGAAGTGCCAGATGGTAAGGCGTATTACAGTATATTTTGTTCAAATACGTTGTATTCTAACTATTCATCTCTAGACAATCTTCTAGGTCGAATCTACAAGTTCAACTTTAGTACACCTTTCAACACAAGCTCGAATTTCTCGGAAATTCTCACCCAAGACCCTATAGCAACGGGCCCTAATGGTGACGCTGCGAACAATTTAGCTCCTAATTATTACGGCGGAGCGTTACTCGCCAATGACCATGAATTCTTCACATATGGCGGCTTAATAATGCTAACTAGTGAAAAAGCGCCAGATGCCGATGCGTCGGTCGAATATGTGGCGTCGCCATACGGAGCCGAGAAGCCTGGCTTCAACACGGGGCTCCGTTATAGAGAGCTCCCTGACGGCGTGACTCGATATGTTACGAACGGGGGCGCGGTCAGTGCCCCATCTGAGAATAAGGCATGGTATTTTGGAGGGTATCGTTCAGAATCTTTCGGTCCAATTTATAACGGTGCCCCTAGTGAAAATGTTACAGCGTCAAATACGTCAAATTACCTTATCACTCTAGATATGACCACCCAAACACAAGAGACTTGGGATAACACGACTCTCGGTCAACATACCCCAAGCCGTGCGGATCCTTCCGTAGTCTGGGTTCCTGTTGGTGAGCAGGGTATTCTAGTAGTAATGGGTGGTGTTACATACCCTGGATACCTAACCAGTGATATGCACTCTACGAATGAGGCGCAAAGTGTAAGTACATCCATTAGGCTTCTAAAGATAGCGTCACTAACTTGCTAGCAGAGAAAGGATGGCCCAGGATTCATGAGAAACGTTGACATTTATGATGTTGCGAGCAAAAAATGGTATCAACAGTCAACCGAAGGTAGTCCACCCCAACTTGCGAGGGGATGCGCGGTAGTTGCCCCTGCTGAAGACAACTCAAGCTTCAATATCTACTATTATGGAGGTTATGATGGGCTTGACGACGGAGGTCAGTTTAATGATGATGTATGGATCCTATCGCTGCCATCATTCATGTGGATGAAGGTATACTCCGGCACGCCCGAACATGCTCGGGCTGGTCATCAATGTGTCATGCCGTACCCAGACCAAATGATAGTCATTGGAGGCCGCCGACCAAATGTAGGCACGGGTCCTCCTTCCTGCCTCGATGGCGAGAACCCGGGAATTCTTCAAGTTTATAACCTCACGGAAAATCACTGGATGGATTCATACGACCCGACTAGCTGGAATTATTATGGGGTTCCTTCGATGATTCACGCTATGATAGGTGGTGACGCCTCTGGTGGTGCAACAGTGACTGCCCCGAGTCCCTCAGGCTGGGAGGATCCTGAACTTGGGAAAGTCTTCGCCACTGCATATCCCACGTCAAAATTGATTACGCACTACCCTTACAGCTCTGTTGGTGCTGGCAATGATTCTCGGGGCATCTACGAAGCCGATGGAGGAGGGGGCACGCCTTCTTGGGTAGCACCTGTATTGGGTGTAGTCCTTGGCCTTATATTTGTCACTGCAGTCGTTATTGGGATTATCCTGTATAGAAGACGGAAATATTTGAAAAAGAACGCCAGCGAGCCCTCGACCGATGAAAACGGCAACAGGATCTTATCCTGGATACTACAAGGCCAGGGCAATGGTAAGGCACCAACAATCACTACTGACGACACTCGCACTCAAATCGACGAGTTGGAAAGTCGAGTATTTACACCTGCGCGGTCACCTCCCGGACCAGAAATGGGAATGGTCACTGAGATGCCAGAAACGTACATTGTAGAGCTCCCAGGTATGTTTCAACGCTTGCTATGATAGCTGATTTACCTACTAATTACTTCTTAAAGATACCTCACCTTCGCCCCGAGTTGAACTAGCAGGAGACACGTACGCCAATTTAGGCATGACACCTTTTATCGGGACAAACGAGAAATCTCCTCTTGCCTCAAACCCACAAACACCTCGTGCTCCCCATGCCATCTCCACGCCGACCAGCCAAATCGGACTTAACTCAGCCCATGAGCTCTCCACGGGCGTTAACTCCTCTCAACCCCCGAGCTACACCGCTCAACGACCCGACTCTCCGCCTCTGGGCAATAATGACGCTCGTTTTGACTCTATCGCTAACGCCATCACCACGGATGTCCCTACAACCGTGACCCCGAATGCCGGTGCCCCTACAAGCCGAAAAGCAGTTGTCAGTGGTTTAAGCGGCGTCAGTGACCGCGAGATAGCGCACCTACGGCAAATTAGCGATGCATCAACAGATACCCAAGTCACGACATCAGTGCCATCGCACCATATAATCGAATCGCCTCCGGAAGCAAGTCCCCCACTACCTGTTAGCCCGCCGAGCGTCGCAGGTGTAGATGGGGCCCCCGAGGCTCCCGACTACGTGAGCGTACCTCAACCCACAGCGACATTAGGTACAACCAATACGGGGAGTCCGCGGCTGAGCGTGTTCCACGAGGACAAGAACGACCTAGACGAAGGCGAGAAGCGGTGATAAGTTAAAAGAACGTACCCTACCTTCAGTAGGAATTGTGCCCGAAATACACGGCCTAGACAGGCACACGATAAGTCCGGGGGTAAAAGAACAATTTCGGAAATCACGCATATGGGCGAAGAAAAAAAGGAGAAGACAGGAACTATGTTTTTTTTTTTCCTAATGAAGTTTAACTATTCTACTCGACTATAGATACCACGGCATGGGAAACACCCCGGAAGGAAAGGACGGGATACGCCGGACTGGGTTGGGAGGTTTGGAGCCAATGCCCCGTATATAACTACCAGAAGATGTTCCTAAGTAGGGACTCGACATTGGCACATATCATCTTGGATATAGAATGACTGGACAGACACACATGTGGAGGAAAGGAGGCGGATGGATGTATACGGGTTCCGATGTGGAAATCACGGTATAATGCATGACATGAATTTTACAGTATAGTATAGTGGTTGACGGGGTCAATCAGTCGCTAAATCGATATTTCTAATGATAAACGTTAATTCAGTTGATCAGATTATTTATTTGAATTGCAATGACGGTACATTTAAGAATAGCTTCATTTTTTCATTATTATTATTATTACTCTTGTATAAGTTGGCAGTCTGCCTAAGAGGAGTCTAGGCAGATGGACTAAACCCCCTTTCAGTATGCTATGCATAATCGTAGTTCAATACGTTTCTAGACTATACGTACACTAGGGCCTATCCTATGCCTAGACATTTCTCTTGCCAAGTCGGATGTAGTCACTTCCATGCTATCTAGTAGCCCCTTACTAGATTCCACCATCCCTAGGCCTATAGGATTTGTCTTCTACTCGTTTGTCCGACAACAGTGCGATGATCCGCTCGATAGTCATGGCATATCTTGGCTTCAACAACAAACATTGACAGATACGCGTAACAATCCCGTGACTAACGGCCGCACTCTACCGCACTCTACCGCACTCTTGGCCCTATTGCAACAAAGGCATATTTGAATCAGCCCTTCGCTTTCTCGATAGCTCCTATCGCCGTGTCCGCTTCTACGATCCGAGCGTTAAAGCCGGACGCTTTGTGCTCGCTTATTATTGCGAAAAACATGGACAATGGTTTCTCAACCCTTCTTTCGGCCTGGCTTCCCTCGACCACGCCCACGGGCAGCCCGACCTCTAGTAGCGGCGCCCCCTCTACTAGATCTAGTAGTTGGGGCAGCGTCGGCTTCTTCCTTCTCACTTTCCTCTTCCTCTTCCTCTTCATCACTCTCATTTTCTTCAACATCCTCATCTTCTTCCTCGGGTTCTTCTTCGACGTCTGGTTCCACGCTCTCTGCCTTTGCCTTCGCCGCAGCTCGCTTCTGGCTCCTAGTACCTCTCGCAGTTGGCCGACCCGCAGGACTACTGGGGAACGGAGTCTCTTGATCGGTGTCATCGATGGTACTAGACCTTCGCGTCTTCGTTGTCGTGCTACCAGCGACGCTCGCCGCATCGGCCGTGGCGTCATGACCGCCTCCTCTAGTGCTGCCACGCTTGCGCTTCCTACCAGAAACCGTGTGTTTTTCGTGAGATTCTGCTTCTGCATCCGACGGGGCCGATTCTTCACCAGGTCCGGCCGCTGCGCGAGCCCACATGAGATCATGAAAATCGTCCGCAGGTAGGTCGAAATAATTGTACTTCTGCTCAGGAGGTTCCTCATCTTGGCCTTCGGTTTCGCCCTTAACGTAGTCGAAGGAGTTATCGCGCTCGTCTATAGCATCCATATTGTAGAAAAGTCGTAGTTTGTCCCATATACATGGTATGCGCGTGTGCGTCTCGACGTCCGGATCGAACCCATGGTTGCGGAGATGTTCCGAAATAGAAATCATGCGAAAGTGTTTATGAATTCCTGTAGACAATTAGATCGCAAAGTTAAAGTAAGATGCATAGTTGCGCTGCGCATGGTGCGTACCGGATGGTTTCCAGCGAATAACTGCTTTGAATAGGGAGGATTCCTGATCGTCGGTCCAGAGATTATTGAGGATCTCGGATGGCGGAGGTAAATTAGGCTTGGAAGCTGTAGGAGTATCGGCGGCTCGAGGGGTATCTGCAGCTTGCGGCGTGTCAACATCCATAGCATCGTCATCGCGCGCGGGAGTAGACGACGCTTTTGGCGTTGACACCTCTGCCAAACCGCCGACCTTAGACTTCCTTTTAGGAGGCATATTGGTCTTCTCAGGAGGAATTAGTTATAAAAATTCTTCCGGTGAAGGCTTATTTTAATTTAATAGAGTTATCACCAGGTAGGAATATATCACATGGAGTTAACATGTAGAAAAAGCGAAGCTGTTGAGACACGGTGATAATTGTTAAATTCAAATTCGTTAAACAGAGCTTTAAGCTGACTTTGAGTAGCTGACTTTGGAGTAGCTTTCGATAAGAACCAGGGTCCAAGCTATACATAGGTACTACATAGATACCTAGGTACATAAGTCTTGCGCTAAAACGATCTATGGCTTATGTAGAAGATCGCGGGGCAGACGCGTTACCTTGTGTTTGGTAGGGTTGTTAAATGTCGTGGCTTGTGTGGAATATTAAATGACATAACCCAAGGCTTACTTAACCTTATACCGTTTACGCGTTTAGTACCAAGTACATGATATATCGTCTTCTAATTACTTGGCCAACATTTCAAGATCCCAAATAGTTCCTATGGAAATATTCTCAACCAAATGCGCAAATGAATCCTATAATTTCTAAGCCAACAAGATGGCAGATGAAGACTTTGCCGACGTATTCGCATTTCCAGATTACAACCTATCTTCAAAGTTATTAACGCTCTCATCAGGGTCGGATAGCCAATTCTTCAATACAAATCTTCCAGGTTCCAATAAATCAACTGAAGGCCATATTACCGTCAAGCCCGCCAACGCAGACGTCGATGGGTTCTTCAAACTGCCTGATTCCCTACTGCCTATAGATCTCAATGGGATTGACGAGACAGACTACCAGATTGCCCCTATTCCCGAAACACTTCATGACGTAAATTTGCATGACCTTGATGTGTTTGACGATTCGTGGCTTCTGAAGGACAACCCAGAAAAAGCCGAATTCGAGTACAAAACATGGGACGGTTTCTTGGTGCCTGATACTCCTCAACCGGCACCATTATTTATCACTGAAGCCGGGCCAGGAACATATGACGCTACAATTAAACATACAGAAGATCCCCTCAAGATCGGGAATTCCGAGAGCAATGTTATTCAAACCAGCCCGTATCTTACAGCCTTGTTAGGCCTTGCGTTTGGCAGAGGTTCGGTCTTTTTCACGTGGGATGAGAACAAAGCTCGTTTCATTCTTAACCTAGACAACATAAGAATTTCAGGTTACTCTTTAGAAGTCCTGCAGGGCCTTCAACAGTGTTGTCTAGAATGTGGAAACACAACTCGCTTTCTTTCAACTTATGTACAAGCCATATATGAGACACGGCCGGGTGCAGTCAGGGTGGCTATCGCGAAGGCCGTGGATATGACTTTGATGACGATTCAAAAGATCCTCGGAGCTAGGACGAGGCAAATACGGTCTCTCCTACAGTTGAAGTCACTTATCCAACCCATCCAAACGGTGCTCGTATATTTCAAAAATTTGATATTGAATGTTTCAAAGACAAGGACCGATGAGCAAGCATTATCTCTCATCTTCGAAGAGGCTCAATCACTAGAGCATAGCAATGCGCTCTTGAGCGAAGTTATGCGTGAGGTCCTATTACGAGTCTCTACGCCTTGGACTCAATTCGCAGAAAATTGGATAGGGGTTCGAACTGAAAGAGGGGTACCATTGACCAAAGAGGATCCCGGGAACAGCTTTATCAAAGTCGGAAATATTCAGGTCGTAGACGATCTAGGATTTGAGGCCGACGAGCTTGATTACATCCTTGATGAAGAGCGTATGCCAACCTTCATTCCAAGCGAGGTGGCTTTAGTTATGTTTGAGACTGGCAAAACTTTACGGCTCCTTCGCACACATCATCCAGAGCATCCAATCTGTCAGATGGAGCTTATCACCAAAAGCAATCCCCCCCCTCTCCAATGGCACTTCAATTGGAAATCCATAGAGCGTTTTCAAGAAGACGTAAAAGCCTACGAGAAAAGCCTATCCAAAAGTCTACGTCATCTGTCTACAGGGGGAAGTGCTATATGTCAGCTAACGAGCTCAACTGATAGTTTACCAAATGGGAATTATACGTTGCAGTTTTTTGGACACGGGGAAACTGAACTTGAAGGACAATTACTAGCTTCTATTGCAGCGCTCGATAAGCCACCAACTACAATTTCTGGGGAAGACAACTTGGCAAGATTGCTTAACGATGACTTATTCAAACCGGCAACTATTGTCGAGCAGGAGATTTCTGACTTCTCGCCGCATTGGTCATTAATACCATATTATTCTTTCGGACCGCTCGTTGCAGCACAAGCACGAGTCATCAATCGGGAATATATGAAGTTACTCTTCAGTGCACATCACCTACGAGATCATTTATCCCTACAGAAGCAATTCCATCTACTCGGGAACGGCATGTTCTGCAGTCGTCTTTCCCACGCATTATTTGACCCCAACCTTGACACTGCTGAACGACAGGCGGGTGTTGCTCTAAGTGGTGGTACAATGGGACTTCGCTTAAGTGGAAGAGATACTTGGCCTCCGGCCAGTTCGGAACTTCGGTTAACTTTGATGGGGGTTCTAGCAGAAAATTTTCTACCTTCGTCACCTCAGACAGTTCCTTCGATAGATGGGAAATATGATCTACCTGGCGACATTAGCTTTGGTGTAAGAGATCTTTCGAGCGAAGAAATTGACAAATGTTTAGACCCCGGCTCATTGGAAGCGTTGGACTTCCTTCGGCTTTCGTATAAACCTCCAGCTCCTCTCTCACCGATTTTCGCTCCGGTAATTCTACTCAAGTACGACAAAATATTTAGATTGTTGCTTAGAGTGCTCCGAATGCTCTATGTTGTTGAACAACTCTTTCGAGATACTCTTGCGAGGACGTCCAATTGGTACCATATCGGCAACACTTCAATACGGTTTCGCTTTGAAGCACATAATTTCGTTACAAGCGTAAGCTCGTACTTCTTTGATACGGGCATTGAGATGCCATGGAAACAATTCGAAAACCAACTAGCCGATATAGAAAATAACCTGTCAAAATCGGACCTTGACCCCCAAGACGCACGAATTCTCAGCCCAGATGAACTACGAGAAGAGCACGAACGACTCCTTGACCACATCATGCATACATTATTGCTTCGAAAGCGACAGCAGCCAGTTATGAAATTACTAGAAGACATTTTTAGTATTATTCTAAAGTTTTCCAAAATAGCCCACCTAGAGGCATCAGGTAATAAGGAAGGCAAAACTCAGAGCTTATCGCCCACAAATCTTTATGATACCTTCAAGAAGAAGGTCGACATTTTCATAACTGTATGTCGTGCTCTCCAAGAGAAGGGAGGTCTTAAAGGGAAACCGACCGCAAACGATATAATGGGGGATGATAGAAGACGTGGTGAGGACGTCAAGGAGGAGAATACCATTGATAAACTCTTGGTCAAGCTTGATATGTCAGGTTATTACGGTCACTCGAGGAATTAATTATCCCTTGAAATAAAAACATAAGATACCCCAAATAAATAAGATTCCATGATAATTGTGGTTTGATATACGAAGTAGGTATCTTTTTTATACCCCTTTTTTAGCCCCTTAATTGCTCAACCCCTATAAGTACACCCGTAAAGTACATGTACCTTAGCAACCCCGCATCGCGTTCATAACGCGCAACCACGAACCCCACTACTCAAATCAGCAAGTACGTACATGTAAATTGTGTCCTTCAGCGCATTAGTAACAATTTACTTACAATTTATTTATTTCTTAGCTTCATCCTTCAACTTTTATTCCCATATGCTAATTTAACAACATGTCTCGACCTGGGCCGTCGTCAGCAAGGAATTTAACCTTGACAGAGGAATTGGAGAAACTAGAACAGTCAATTACCCTTACGCTACAAGAAATTGACCACAACTTCAATAAGGCGCACCGAATCGTCACTTCTAGCATCCTACCTCTCGTAGAGCAATATGGCGAGCACTCAAAGGCTGTTTGGGAAGCGTCTAAAGTATGTGCAGATCTACAAATAGCTCGTTATATACTTATTGACTTACTAACTTTATCTTCTATTATTTAGTTCTGGAAGCAATTCTTCGAGGCATCCGCCAACGTATCTCTTTCCGGTTACGAAGAACTAGCCGGCGATGGCGAGACTACTACAGCTGAGGAAACGACTCTAGAGGATACGACATCTAACTATAACGACGCCACTACCGAGGAGGACACGACTGTTGAGCAGTCGGGCTACGCCGAGCAGCACCAGGAGCAACACGACATGCCCGATGATTCCATCCTTGACCATGCCGAGATAACGGGAAGCACACCACGGGCGCCGTCTACGAAATCACTACCGCACATGAAAAAACCACAGTTTGCCGACTTCGAGTCACCCTACGAGAAGCTGCGGCGCGAACTCAAAGGCGAGAATACTATCTTTAAGGACGATTTACTTGCCGATGACGACGACACCTTAGAACTACCAGCCCACACAAGGACAAGCAATCAATCGAGGTTACCGGATATGTCGATGACGCCGCGTTCTTCATCCTTATTAGAAGAACCAGCACCCAAGTCTGCGGCCAGTAAGCACAAGGACCCGTTACTACACCGTATCCTCGATAAGAATTACCGACTACAGGCTACTCCGCACAAAACCGTTGCCTTACAGCCACAATCGCGCGGTCTCCGCGGCAGATCCCCCGCCAAGCCCGTCGAAGGAGAGGAAGACCGGACGCGCAGGGCACTTTGGGCCGAGAGCCCGATGAGTTCGCCCGAGATAGCGATGCCGAAGCTGCGAAGCGACTTGTACATGTCGCCCATACGGCTAGCACGAGGTCGCCCAGCTATAAGCGATACTCCAAGAACACCAGGAGTTAGTGTGCAGACTCCGGGTACGGCAAGGAAGACGAGAGATATCTTCGCGGAAGCTAGGGATAAGGGGCTAAGCAAGAGTAAAGCCAAGAAGGATCCAGATGAGATCAACTGGGATAGTGATGACGATGACGACTTCGGTGGGATGAGCCCCCCGAAGACGATTCAGTTTGCGCTGCCGCCGAGTAAGCTCATGCAGACACCCGGTAAGTCAATTTTTGTTTTGTTTATTACTATGACTTCTTCACGAAGGCTATATAATTGTAAGATATACTAACAGGAGTGAAAAGCACGAGAGGCAAGCAGGCGGATCGTCGACGATATTCTAATCACGGCCGGCGCGGCACCGGAGGATTCGTCCGAGTACAGCCCGACCATGGTGAAGATGAATCAAGATATCTTGGACGATACGTTCTAAGACACGGAAAAGATGTGTCGGCAACATACGTCGATAAGACTAGGCCAGATCCCGGAACAGTATTTATTGTTATTATAGTACGAGTAGGCACCTAGACAAAACAGGAGATACCCCTTTATTTATTACTTCCCATTCCTACCATGTTGCGCCGTTGCTTGTGCACAACTGTACCAAGATACTTCCTCCCGTTCTAAGTAACATATATCGTGTTCGTCGTCCATCAATCCATAAATACCAGGCTTTCTCGCCGGGACGTGGTCTTCATCATCTTGTCTACATCGCCTTATTCCTCGACCGAAATGACCAGTAACCAGTCATCTCGAAAATACGAACAAGGTGTCCCATGTGTAGTATAGTAAAGGGGCTTAAAAGTTCATCCTGATTTGGTTCCGTTGCGCGATCCGGTTCAGCTCGGCTTGAGTAGGACTAGAGCTAGAACCGGAGTCAGAACTATTGGGTTTGCTCGACTTGCTTGAGGTGTGCTTCTTGAACAAAGCTTTGGCGCTACCGAATGAGCTTGTCGAGAATATAGAGGCCGTGTCGGAGGAAGCAGGCTGGGCCTTTTCGACGTCGACGGCGGTTTTATCTTGTGGTTGGCTCATGGTGTCTTATTGTGTGTAGGTTTGCTTGTCTGCTGTTGAGAATGATAGGTTGGTTCAGAGTAGATAATCGTGACTCTAGTAGATGTTTCCGTTGGGTTAATAAGTGAGAAGAGGTAGCCGTCTAAGTCCGAGCCCCTGACAGAACTAAGTTACTTATTTGCCTAAGGTTGGCGCGCTCTGATGCTAGCTGCTTATGATGATATGATATCTAACAGACGAGAGATATAGTTGTCGAACAAGGGAGCGGGGAATGTATTATGTCTTAGAGAGAGAGAAATATTTATATATATAGGATCGATATGTCCATGTTGTCACACCCTCCGTTGTGTACATCGCGGCATACTGCCGCTTTAGGTAATGTATCTCGCATTGTAACAAGGCAAATTAGTTTTGAATACTAGTTAATACCTATTTAAACTTATTATCCCGTATGAGTCAAAGCTAAGATCATTGAATACAAGGATATGATAATGATAGTCGGGTTGGGTATAGGTAATGATGCCAACGACTATACTCTACGAATTCGTCACCCCGACCGATTAGACCTTAAGTGCTGACGATACCTCACTACGCAATAGAGAGGTAGGAAATAAGATCTGCCAAGAAATAGTATATGTACTCCTAATAAAGCACCTAATACTACCTATACTTAATACTATGTATATGCAAGCAGACTTTGCGTAGTATAGTTTATTGGCGAGCCTCGTCTAGAAACGCAACTTATCCTATTCCAGTACATATCCGAACACCGAGCCCCCATGTAAAACGGACCCCAACACATCACACACATAGTTAGTATTATCAAAGACCATCAAAGTCACAAGGGGAAAAAGATTACAAAGCAAGCATCGAATCAGAATATTGCTGCCTTACAGAAAAATTCGTCCTAATCTCTTCCGAAGAATACATAAGTGTAAATGATGCCTAGTTTTTTTTTTTTCGACTGGGGCCCCGCAAAGCATACGTGAGTCGACATCGTCAGCTCAGCCTCATTAAGACTAGATAGGTGATATTTCACATGCATTAGCTTGTTTAAAACTAGTCTTTCCGCATGCAACGTCAGTTTCTGCCTTGACTCACTCACCATCATGCATACCGCTAGTAGCCTTGCTAAAGCTATTTCCTTACGACGGAATCTAGAGTCGCCGGGTAAACTACATAGGCGCTGATTAGAATTCGCGTCCGAGTCTGTAGAGCTTCTACTTTGGGGTAAGTAGGTCGAATACTTGGAAGTGCTCCTCATTAGGACATGCGGAACACGTATAGCACTGACGACATTTGAACCTACTGCCTCGATGCCTTCATTAGGCATTGCATGTTCTTTTCTTATGTAGACCAATGTTTTCTCTTCGCCTTATAGCGCTTATGTTTTGTAGAAAACTGGTTGAGCGTGCCCGTAGGCAATGCAACGTAAATGCCTCCAATGCTCGAACAACCCTTATTTTACCTTGCCTATCGTACCATCAGCCCGCACTATACGAGATGGCTGTGGTGAAGTATAGAAATTAAATAGTCTCCAAAGCCATTTGCTAGCTGAATATACTTATCGGACTGAATGGTTGTTGATGAGACGACATTAATAAGTTTAACAAGTGATTATAATGTTAAGATTTATGGGCTCAAAGCATCTACCTTCACAACACATGGAATATATAGGTTACCTGTTTATTATTTCTAAGTTGAATAATAGTTTTTATATTGTTTACACTAGTATATGAAAATTATTTTCCCTTCTATTGCCTACTTCATAACCCATTCTAATATTTTAGATAACATTATAATATAGGTTCCGATTGCCAACTTATATGCACTATATATCTGAAAACGCGTACCAATGTAATATCGTCTACTTACGTATGAGTATGTACTTATGTTATTGATGAAAGGTTATAAAAATAAGGGTTTAAAACTAAGACTCTGGTTTCGAATAAGTTAATAAGTATGGGTGATCAGATGAGATAAACAGTCTTAGTATAACACTTAAACTATTGCTACATGTACACGCTGGGATATTATGGTCAAAAGTATATGGATTTTGCTCGGAGGATACTCTAACTTTGATTATCTTTGACTATAGGGTTGGTATTGGATTTGTTGTTGTCTTATCGTACTGAAGGACGGCCAATGAGATTATATTGAAAGAAAAATATCTTTAAACCACATCTAGGAATTTGCACTTGAGACTTTAAACTTCGTTATTATATATAAAGACTGAAGTATGTATAGGTAGGTATAGTTGGATGGAATGCGGCCGTCCTATGTTTCAAAGACCTCCCTAAATCTCATGTGTATATACCAGTGTTCGTATAAGAGTAACTTGGGACTGAAAAGACTAAACCTGGGCTCAATAAATTGTCTATGTGTAAAATTCGTTTGATCTATAAGATAAATAAGTCTTATCCGAGGTCTATAGTCATTCGACTATAACCAGTACGAATATGAATAGACATTCACCCCCCGGCTTTTTGAACTCGAATCTATTTTGATATCTTTGTTAAGTGTAATATTTACCCTTTTCAATATTAGACAGTTGACGATAACATTCTGTTAAAGCCAAGGTCATGACTGTTCCATTATACTATTAGTACTGTCTACACAAGTTCAACGTAGCACCCCTAAGGAAGTATTGCACATTGATTAAAGAAATAGGTAAAATTTGGGATTTAATTAAGATTTATTTTATATATATAATTTTGCTAAAAACCCCATATAATTTAAATATATTTTTTTTAATATATATATATTTTTTTATAATAATATTTTATAATTTATATAATTATATAATTATATTATATTTTTATTATAATATATATTTACATATTAATCTATTATAATTCCTTATATTTTATTAATTTATTATAATTATTTATATTTTAATACTTATTTATATATTAATCTCTTATATTTTAATATATATTTATATATTAACCTATTATAATTTATTATAATTATTTATATTTTAATATTTTTTTATATATTAATTTTTTATATTTTAATATATATTTATATATTAATTTACTATAATTCTTTATATTTTATTAATTTATTATAACTATTTATATTTTAATACTTATTTATATATTAATTTTTTATATTTTAATACTTATTTATATATTAATTTATTGTAATTATTTATATTTTAATATTTATTTATTCATTTATATATTTAATTTAATTTATTTTTATATTATATAATTTATTAAAAAATATTTTTATATATTTAAATTTTTATTCTTTTATTATATATTTAAATATATTTGGTAAGTATATAAAAGGTTAATAATTAATAATTAATTTTTAAAAAAATTTTAATTATAATAATATAATTATAAAAAGTTTTAATTATAAATTAAAAGTTTTAAATAAATTTTAATTATAAATTAAAGGCTTTAAATAAATTTTAATTATAATGTAAAAGTTTTAAATAAATTTTAATTATAAATTAAAAGCTTTAAATAAACTTTAATTACAATATAAAAATTTTAAATAAATTTTAATTATAATATAAAGATTTTAAATAAATTTTAATTATAAATTAAAAATTTTAAATAAATTTTAATTATAGATTAAAAGTTTTAAATAAATTTTAATTACGATTTTAAAATTATATAATATATAACAGTTAATTATATATATTTTTAAACTTATTTTTAATTATTTTAAGGTTTTTTTTCTTCCAAATCTTTTTTAAATTCCTTTTTTAATATTTCTTTAAAAATAAAATTATTAATATCCTTATTTATTAAAATTTCTAAAATAATTTAAATATTATTATATATTAATATAATTAAATTAATTTTATTAAAATTAAAAATTCTTAAATTTATTTATTATTTAAAATAAAATATTTTAATATACCAATAAATATAAATAATTATTCTTTAATAATATTCCTTAATAATTTTATTAATTAAAGATTAATTAAATTTATAAAATAATAAATAAATAAAGATATTTTTTAAAATTTTTTTTTATTAATTATTAAATTTTACCTTATTTATTAAATTTAATTTATTTAAATTAATTCTTAACTTTTTAATAAATTTGCTAAATTTTATAATATATATTTTTATAACGCCATTTTTATAAAAATAAAAATCCTTTTATAGTTTATGTTAAAAATAGTAATAAAATTATAATGTATTATTATAATTTAAAAAAGATTTATAGTAATTATATATTTTAAAATTTATAAATATTTTAAATATTATTTAAATATTAATAAATTACTTATATAATATAGCGTTTTTTTATTACTATATTTTTTTTTTTTTTTTTGGTAATTTAGCATTAATAGCTACATTGTTTTATATTATTAATAACAAAGTAAAACCAGTTGTTTCTTACCATAAATAATTTAATATAATTTAAAATATGTTTTTTTAATTAACATTATTA